TTTTTCCCTAACATTTATTTCCGGGATTACTTTTTCCCTTTTTTATGTTTTAAAAGGGAAAAGTAATAAACTTTTAAAATTTGTTGACCCCACTGCCCTTTTTTCTATTCTTTATATCTAAATTGTTTGGGCCCGGATTTTCTTTTCCTTCCCGGGGGCCCCATTCCATGATAAACTAACGGTTGGGTTTTTTGCACCCCCCGGGTTTGGGGGAAAACCCCCGATCTAGTTTCCTTTGGTTTACAAGCATCCTAAAGTCACAAAAAAAAATTGCGTACTCACAGAGTTAATAAAAGTAAACAATGAAAAGAATTTTTCCAGGGGTTTGTTTCCCGCTTGGGTCACACCCAAAGAAAGGAAAAAAATGTTGGTGGAAACAATGGGAACAGTAAAGGGGTACGGGACAACCCGGCCTTGGTAAGGGTTTGAGGGGTTTACCTCATTTTCTAAACCCGGGTTTTTTAAATCTTTTTTTTTTTTTTTCTTTTTTTATTTCAAAACAAAATTTTTAAAAAAGGGGAAATTTTAGAGAAAGGGAACAGAAAGACCCATTAGCAGAGACCACAAAGAATTCGATAGAAATAAACTGATTAGATTCACTTCAATCCAGTTCAGTTTGGCTGGAGTCTTGAACTCTGAGCACTTTTAGATCAGTTAAGCTTTTGCCTGACATTCATCCTTTTTTTTAAGGTAATAAAAAAGTGGAAGGTGTTGTGATTAAAAAGGAAAGTTTAAATCCACTTAAATAATACTGCAAAGCTCAAAAGTCTTTCTTTTTTATATATATATATATATATAGTAGAAAATTAGCATTGGTTAATCGTTAAAGGCTGTGATCAAGTGCATGACTTGTGTGGGTGATGTTAGGTCAACTTAAAAGAGCTGGAAAATGATTTAAATTAAACAGCTAACAAAAAAAAAACAGTTAATTTGGCTTTCATAAGGGGAAACGTTTTGGGAATAAATAGCATGGCATGTGTCGGGTTATTTTATGCCTCTCGGAAATGATGCTATTTAACTGCTTGGCAACAAATGACACAGCGAATAGATACTGTAATCAAACATATTTATTTAAACAGCTGCTAAATATCATAAATTAAGCATTTTTACAGGATGTATATATGATAAGCAAAACAATTGCTTGACAGGCTGCAGAGATACAACTGTGAAACAGAAACCATGCTGCCAACATGAGCTTTCTGGCAGCTGTCTGGCTAATAATCTCCTGAGGAAAGACTAGGAGGTACAGGAGATGGATCTGGAGAGGGGAGCAGGAGTGGGGGGGTCTCCTTCTGAAACAGAGGGAACCACAGACACACCAAAGACATGTAGAGACAGGTTACTGTCAAATGGGCCAAAGATGCCGCCGCGGCTGATTTATCAGTGGCAGGAGATAAATCTGCTGTTTGGATGGATGGTCGATGTTAAAGAGGACATGGACAAGCGTGTGAGAGAGGTTTTCCAGGATACAACACCAAACGAATGGACTAAAAGGTGTCGGCTGCATTTTCAACAACAAGCTTTGGAAAATAATCTCATTTATGTCATAAATTGTTAAATCGTATGGATTAAATCCCATTAAAGGACCAAAACTGTGAAAGATCTGATAATCAGAACTCAATCTAGCAGTTTTTTCAAAGTTATTACATTTATAGCCACTTTATTTTCTGTTGATTTTTAAGCAAAAACGTTGCCAGGCAAGATGAGTACTTAATGTAAGACACAACGGCCCATTCTCATTATGCTCTGAACTCGGAAACACAACAAAAAGGATAAATTCTGCAGAATGACCGCTGATCAAACCTAAGTTTAGGATTCCTAATGCCGTTCAGCAGCCAGGACAAAGCATTTTAACACTTCTGCTTCAATCGCATAAAAAATGCTGTAAAATATAAATTTGTGAGCATATTACTATTATATTGTAATGCATAAAGTGGAGTTATTGGCAAAACTATTAAAAAAAACTAATTATCGTTTGTCTGACCACAACGCTACGCCATCTTATCAAGTACAGAAAAGTATGAAATTTGATTTGGTAATTTGTCAGGTCTGGATAAGTATGAATAATTAACAATAAATAAATGTTAAAAAAAATCTTGATTTTCCAGAAAAATTTCCAGAAAATATCTATTTAGAGTATGGCTGATCTCTGACTGATCATATTGCGACTTGAGATTTTGCTCAGTTTGTTACTTTAGCGCTGAGTTATTAAGAGACAACCAAAACAGATTTTTGTTTTTGTTCTCAAATGTCCTCATTGTATTTGATATAACAGAAAAACTGAGTTAAAAAAAGTCTAGAATTCTGAAATGGAAAATTTTGGAGATAAAAAATCAATTATGCATTGACATGAAGGCAGGATTAGTGTCTTTAAAGACTCTTTGTTTTATTTACCAGCACTAACTCCAAGAGATCCTGCAGGAACAGGACTATATGTTCAAATAACGAGAAAAAGAAATTATGAAGTAAACTGTTTTACAAAATTTGATAATTAAATCATCTCCAACAGAAATTTATTTTGAACAAATATAACACTTAGTCTTTTAAACTGTTGCAAAAATACTTCAAGTTCAGAAGGAAAATGTAGAAACTTGTAGTGGAGTAGCCAAAATATCACTTCGCTTTCACGGCCAGAAAATAAGTATTTTCATCTAGTTTTGGTCCATTAATGCAATTTAACTGATTTAACACAGAATGAAGGAATGGTGGACATGCAATCCAATTACCTTAGCAGCCATTTAATTATTGCAATTTAACACAGGCACCAATTCGATTTGGTGTTTAACGCAACGCTTCACAATGCAACTAATACTATTTAGGTCTTTAGTGCGCCGGGCATGAGGCACATGCTGGTTTGTCATTAGTTTTAGTTAGTCGGGGGGGGGAAAGCAGAAGGAGCTACAAAAGGCAGCCAGTGCAAAAGCAGTAAAACCAGATCTTATGACCAAATGTGGACAATCGTCACCTTCACTGCTGGCAGGAATGGCCAATCAGAATGTGCAGCATTGCAAAGTTGAAACAGACTGAACAAAATGAAGTGAAACAGAAACTGTAAATAAATTTTAGATAGGAAAAAAGATGAGATGTAAAAAAAAGAAGGAGCTGGAAAGAAGATGTGCAAAGATTTTGCATTGAAACAATAATACTTTCAATTTAAGTACAATAAAACAGAACTACAACAATAAGACAAACAAAAATATAACCATCAATTACAGTATAACACTTAAACAAAAGGACTTACTTCACAATTAGTTTCTAAACCTTTCACTCTGGATCCAAACTAGAAAATAAAAGTTTTAAACTGACTTTCAAATCATCTTTGTTGCTGATAAGGCTCATTGTTTTGGTTTTAATCTATTAAATATGGTCTGAAATGTAACTGAAATCATATTTATTCACCGTTTCAAAAACAATAAAAAAAATAAAATAAAATAAGTACCTTCAAATATATATTTCAAAATAAATTTTTACCATTAACGTTAAAAAAAAACTTGTCACTAGTTCTTTCTTATGCTGTAAATCCATAATTTCAAACAAATACCATAAATAATGAGCCTTAATCTTCAAAGGGTAAAAAAAAAATGCACCAAAACACATTGCGAAAAATCTGGATCCTTAGATGACCTAAAAATAATTCATAAAAAATAAAAAATGATACACTGCTTTGGCATTTTAATTGCACATTTCTGTTTGGCAGAGTTAAAGGCAGACTATAATAACTCCATCCCTGCCAGAAGTAAAAAAAAAAAAAGAGCCGCATCATTTGGACAGTTTACTCTGTTAGAATCAAGGGCATCTTCCAGGGTCAGAGCAAAGCTAATAGTTCAGACCAATTAATTTTGTCTAAGCGACAAAATGAGGCGTGAACCTCAAGAATTTATGACCAAGATTTCAACCATAAAAGGCTGAATGTTTCTGCAAATCTTCCTAGAAAAAGCCCACATGTCAGAGATTGATTAGGGAGGGGAAACGCAGGCGAAAACATGAAGCTAACCTGTTCAAAAGAAGCTAACCTAGCTAAAAAACAAACAAAACAAAAAAAAACCTTTAAGGACCAATTATGGCCCAAGTTTTTATGGAAAACAAAATTGCTAATAAGCTATCCTTAGCGGAGTAACAAGCTGCTATCAAGAGAGAGCAAATATTCGCCATTGAAAATGCATAAAACTCAAACTTCAGCTGCAACTTTAATATATTTGCACCTATTTACTGTTTAATTTTGATTTTATATCTAATAATCCATGTTAAACAAGTTGCTAAGCTAACCTCAATGGAAATTTGAGGGCTGATCAATGTAGTGACATAGGGTGTTGTTTTAAAAGGTGGAACTGAAAGTAAAGCTGATCCACAGAAGCGTCAGCAGACGGTTTGAGGCACCGGGTAGTTGGTTTATTATCTCCTGTTTATTCCCTGTAGAACATTTGCCAAAATTCAGAATTTCCTGATTATCCAAACTGCAGGGAAGATACTGACTGCTCAACATTACCCCCAATAGACACGTTAGGGCTTTATTGCTAAACGAAAAAAAAAAGTATTTTAAATAATAACCTTTTATCAAATAAAATATGTTTAAAATCACTGCGGGGATTTGAAATGAAGGCAAGTGAAGGTAATAATGGAGTTTGAACTTAATTGAACCTGAATGGATCAGTTCTAGGCTATAAAGTGGTACATATCCAGCTATCAGGCAGTCTGCCGTGTTAAAGCAGATAGTTAGTCCTTCTCCTACGCCAGTCGTTGATTGAAGAGTTGCTGCTGAGCCAGTTGGGGCTCCTGGTAGATCTGCCCCAACATCTCATGCATCATGCAGAGCAGAGGACAACCAAGGCTCAGCAGCTCAAACAGGAATATATAGTCCTGTGAGTAGCTCCGAACGTGGGATCCCACGGCTGTAATAGAGTGGCACACACTTCCCAACAGCTGCCGAGGCAACACACACACAGCCCGACTAGCACGCCTCGGCCAGCTCAGACCGTGTTTAAGCAAGGAAACCAGGGTACCTGCGGGTTGGATGCCGCCCGTGGCTGAACAGATCCCGCTGTCCATAGCTGAGGGGTTCAGGGGATTTAGGACTTCCTGTAAAAACCAGGAAAAACATGTAAGGAAATAAATACATGCTGATGAAAAACATGCATATTTTGAGGATTAAATCAGCAATAAATGCCAATTCCTTCTGTCTGTCGTTAGCGTAAAATTATTTTTAACTAATTCCTTTGGAATATCTAACCAATGTCATGCATCACAGTGAAGAACAGTTTTACAGAGTATGGCGGCCATTTTTGGACTATATTGGACCAGACCTCTCCTCCACACTATTAAGAGGCTTGCTGTGGGCCTGAACAGTATATGTGCATTATGAGACTCACCACTGTTTGCACCAATTTATATGTTCATCTGCCATGAAAGGCCTTTAATGTAGGTTTTATGTTTGTTCTTTTCTGTGTCTAATATGATAAACACTGTTTGTTGAAAATTTAAAATCTAAAAAAGCCACTTTTACTAAAAACAAAACTTATATTTAGCAACTTTGTAAATCTGTTTGAATAAATCAAAGTTCAAGTTGTTTTATTTAATCTTGCTAAGAATTAAATTACTTTCAGTGTGTTGAGTATTTATTAATGTTTATTTATTTTTTTTCTCTTTATTGACACCCTATCAAAAAAAAGAAAACTGAAGTATATATTTTTAAACTGCTTCTTACCGTCGTTCTTCTGTTCCTGCCCCAGTTAGTGCTGTATTGATGCTGGATGTAATGAATTTTGCAGTAAAACTTTCCTACATTTAACAAAAAAAAAAAAAAAAAAAAAAAAAAGAATCAGTTCTAATACAAACCAAACTGATAAATAGAATAGAATAGAAAATCCCTTTATTGATTGATAAGATTAAAGCAAAAGTAGTGACACAAATATTGACCTTAAAAATAAAGTGTAGAAATAACAGAATGAGAGACAAAGTTAAGAAAATATACAGAGTACTTTCTTTTATTTTAAAAGAATACTTCTGTTGTACAAAATAATAGACTAAAATAATCTTTAATAGAAAAGTCTGCAGGGATTATTCTCCTAATTTCGACGTAAAGATTTTTTAGAGTGAGTCAGACAGACGTACCTTCCTGCGAGTCAAAGGCGTGTCCACCCAGACGGAGGGTGCAGTTACAGACGTCACAGCGGAAGCACTCTCGATGGAAGAAGTAGCCGTCAGCGCTCAGTCTCTCCATCACATACACCCGTTTGGAGCAAAAGTGGCAGATGTCGCTGCCGCCGAGTCCAGGAGGGAAATCCTTCCGCAGCACGCACTGAGGAGAGGAGAGATGATAATAATAATAAGAGTCCTTCACTGAGAGGCTGGATGGGGAATTCTTTCATTGTTCCTTCCTTGCTTTTTCCGATTAATCAACGTTTCATTTTAAAAATCCAAATGGAAATAAGAAACTTTAGAGAGAAAAAAGAAAAAGAAAAGGCTGCCTTTTTATTATTAAAAGACATGTGTAATATTTTCTTAGTGTACCAATTCAGACTTTCTACCAAAACCAGAAATTATGGTAAATGGAATTCTTTTTAACCCAACTTTTTTTTTATTGTTTAAAGTCGTAGGGAAGCGGCTGTTCCAACCGTTGCATTTCCGAATTCTCCATAGTGGTGCACGACTTTACACGAGTGAATAAAGAGAATGTGATTGGTCGATTATCAAGGGGGAGGGGTTGGTTGTGACCGGTGTCTCAGAAGCATCTTGCTAACCAGTTAGCATCTTAGTGCTAGCAGGTTCCCAATAGGAAATTCCATTGGGACCAAGTAGCGCTAAATTGGTGACTTAGAAACGACGCTGTGAAGGAACGCTATGGACAGCGGAAACATGCAAGAGGAGGAGAGTTTAGTGTCGGAGGTCGTGGATGAGTCTCCTCCGTCATCCATTTTTTATTTAGAGGAGGAAAGCGGGGACGAAGATGTTGTGGAAGAGGACGCCAGGGCGGCAGAAGCTTGGTTTGGTGTAGAAGGCTTCCAGCCGTACATGTTTGAGCCCTTGCCTCGCAACGCTGCCAGTTCTGTTAGCTCTACGCCTGCTGAAGACACAGACGTCCATCCCCGTGAACACTGGGACGCAACTCAATGGGAAAGGAAACGATTCTTATTTTAACCGTTGCGTATATTAGCTGCGACATATGAATCAAGATGCTATGACCGAATTTGCTTGACAGATGATCGTTGATGTATGATTGGCTGAATTTAGGTGTACAAGCTGACGTAGAACTAACTGGCCTGCAGAAGATAAGGAAAAAAAACCACCACAGATTTTAAGACAGCATTTTTTTTTTTATATAAATTTTCTACATTTTCGGACAATATGGTCTGATAAAGAATACATTTATATACACGTTTAAGCCAGAATGATTTGACATCCAAACATGACTTATCTACGACTTCAAACAACTAATCTGTTAAGTTACTGAATCACTAAAATATAGTTTTTATTTATTTTCTCTATTGTTTCCTTTATAATAAAAAAAAATTTTTTTATATGGATAAAGATAAAAAGAAAATTACACATATTGGAGTTTTAATTAAATCAGTTCAATTCAGCTTATTTTTTATCGCCCCAATTCACATGCGTGTCATCTCAAGGAACTTTACAGAAACAATTCAACTAGATCATACAGCCAGATTGGCTCAAAGTTTTCTATCTCAGGAAAACCAGTTGATTGCATCGACTCATTGACTCTTCAGCAATCCCTCACACTAAGCATGCTTGTAGCGACAGTGGAGAGGAAAAACTCCCTTTTACCAGGAAGAAACCTCCAGCAGAACAGGCTCAGTGTGAGCCCAAGTTTTTCTGGGGTTAAATTATTTCAATGTTAAATGTTTGCATTTAGGTTTTAAAAATGAAAAAAAAAAAATGGTTATTTTCTTTTTTTGCGATCATCAATTTAAAACGGAAAGAACAAAGTATTGACCGCACAGAGATTATGGGGCTCTTCTACAGAAAAATAATAAACACTCATGCATATGTCAGACCTCAAATTAAATGCTTTAAGACAATAAGAGCTTTTAGGTGATTCATTGAGTAAAAAAAAACACTGAAATACCTGTTGGTGAACAGTTTAAATCACAGCAAAGCCACTGGTTAGTTAAAACAGAAACACCACACCCATTATAACACATATTCTTAAAGAAATGAAGAAAATCTAATTGAAATGAAAGTTTTTATAACATTTGTATCAACTCAGCAGATAAAACAGAAAATATTCATATAGACATTTTCCTCTATAAACTCCAACTTCCTCAGGAGCTTCCTGGACTTAAAGGACTTTAGTTTCTTTAAACCCAAACAAACACAGAACATTTTCATAATATTACAAAAGCATAATTAGTTTGAACACAATCATTTTTAATTTGAAAAGAAATTCAAAACATTCTTACATATTATTATTATTATAAAAATTATCATAAAAGCTAAAATGGTACTGTTTTGTGTTCTGCTTGAAGCTAAAGCTTTTCCTTTTTTTCCACAATAAAAATAACATAATGAAAACAAATGTTAATCAAGTCTTATTGTAAACAAAAAACAAATATTCAGAAACAAACCAAGCAAAACATCGTTAATGAAGAGCACATGGAGGGAGCGACATGCTTCACTCGCTTTAAGGTAAAGCTGCTAAACGCACTGACGAATCAGCAAACGCCAGCAAACACCGATATCAGCCGATGCAGATAAAAGATAAAAGCCGGAGGTGGGAAACAAACAGACCCTAACTAAATTAACATCTCATTTGAATAATATCTCACACCCAGTAAGAGCCAAATATGTCAGTTTGTAACATTATTATTGTTCATAACTTTTGTATATTACGATATTTTCTTTATAACAAAGTTTCTTTTTTGTATTTTTTTTTGTAGAAAAGCGCCACCTATAGGACATGCTTGAAAATATCTGAACAGTGCTGTGTCACATCAGTTTAGAAAGAAAAGTGAATGTGGTTTGGGTAACTGAGCTCTACGCAGTTTTTAATCATTAAGTGTGGAATGCGTGCAAGATTATAAAACCTGTAATATCTGCTCAAAGAAAAGCAAAGTTTGTCTTTCGCCAGACTTTGTGTGGAGTAGTGAGTACTTCTTTAATGCACAAGAATATATCATGGCTCAGAAACGCAACAAGAAAGAAAATTAGAGCTCGTCAAACAATATATTGGTTTTGTACCAGAACAAAATAAGCAGCCACTGCACACCCCGTGCATGAAACTGTTGCGGAACTGGAGAGCTCCTCCAAAGAGTATTGCACCCTAAATGCACCAAGGAGCGTTATCACAGATCCTTCCTCCCTGCAGCTGGAAGACTGTATAACCACCACTGTTCCCAACAACCTCAATAAGTTGTTACATTCATGCTGATTTTTGCACAGTTTCTATCTTAGTTAGTTAAATAACATGCTGCTGTCATTTTGCAAATCTATTGCTGCTGCTTTTTTCAAATATCTTTTCCGGTAAAAATGTCCACTGCTGTATATTATTTATTCTCTAGATGTACAGCATTTATATTATAAAAACATTGTACCGTACAATATTTTATTTGTTTATTTTCTTAACTGTCCAACAATTTCCCCATTGTGGGACAATAAAGGGATTTTTTATTCTATTCTAAATTCAACCAACACTGATTCATTTATTGTTTTTCTGTCCACTGCTCTCAGTAACAGACTTCATTAACAACATAACTGTATCAGGGATCATTTTAATGATTTTCATTAGAAGCATTTAGCAAATCTATCGATGGATGGAGAGATTTTTAAGGATTAATTATTTTCACAGCAGAATTTATTTAGCAAAAACAAAACTGCATTGAAGGGGAAGGAAAAAGGGTGTAAGTTTGTGATAAAAATTGGTGGGGACACTACGGTTGGGGACTGATGGACCTACAGTTACTCCACCCAAACGCTTTAATTAGGTTTTTGTATTTTCCAAAAATGAGCTTAAACATATATTTACTGAATGCTTTCCTATTGTTGACAACACAAGAGAACTATAATACACCGATATTTATAATTATAGATAGTTAGAGATATCTTTTATTGCATATAAAGCGCCCAAAAACATTAATGTAGAAAAATATAATGAATAACAGCCGATTCCGATGCCAAAATCGATATATCATCCCTAGAAGTACAATTTGAATTCCATCCATTAAGAAAAATATGGATAAGATGCATTTTAAATATAGCATGCCATATTTTTTTGTTGTAAACTTTCTGGGAAATTTGGAGATATATTTTATTGCATGTTGCATATCCCAGTAAATCTGTTTCACCTTTAAATCGGCAGCTCTCCCTACTTCTCTCTCTGCTCCGTTTAAAAAAGATTTGTGAACCCATTTACTGATATAATGATGCCAGAAACTAAATTTCAAGATATGTAGAAGCTCTGCAGTCTGATTCTGTCTGTTCAATAAGAAAACATGTTAATTTTAACCTCTAACTGGGGTCATGGTCCTCTGAGAGGCCCAGCTTTTATAGTAAAGAAAAACAAATTATGTTCTCTCAAGCTTCTTGCGTTATAATATTAACTTGGATAAACTTACAATCTGTTGCCATTTTTAACTGAAAAAGCTCTGTATGTCAAACAAACAGTTTTTTCAGTGGTATGATCTCTAATTTTTTTAACCAACCTTTCTTTTACTTAAACATTGAAGGAGCTGCTGGTTAATATTCACAGAGTGCTGCTGCGTGTCTCTCCTCTAACCTACGCAAATAGGGTGTCTCAAAGCGACAGATCTGATGATGTCACACCAAGAGGCGGGACACAAGAGAGGAAAAATAAAAACACGGACTCAAAACGCTCTGAACAGATAGCTGCACCCAACTCTATTACGTTTGGCTAAAGTAAATGAAGGGAAAGAGGAAAAACCTGGAAATGATTGGTGGGGACATGTCCATACCAGTCCTTCAGAAAGTTACGCCTGTGCTTGAAACTAAAACCTGTTTCTGGGGCAGACCTGTACTGGTTTGATGATGGAGTCAAACCGGACCATCTGGAGGATGGTTCCGTGTTATGATGCTGAATTAGCTTTGGAGCGTCATGGTGCTGAAGACCTGATTGATAAATTGGCTTCATCTTCGGAGCTCAGCTGTGCGAGTCAACATCGATAAAAACCCTTTTTTTGGGGTTTTTGTTTAAAAAGTTTAAACTTCTAAAGCACATTTTCTAAGTCTTCCTCTTATTTCCAAGTTTTAAAATTCCTTGGAAATAATACTAAATCAAGCAATTTGAACATTATTGGTTAGAAAAGTCAAGTCTTCACAAATGTTATTAGTATTTAGTTGATGTTAGTGTTTAAACCTTCCACATGCATCTTACCGGCGGCGCATTGGGCCTGTGGTCTGTCTCATAAAGGACGGCCAGTATCTGAGCTTTTGCATTTATTGCTGATGATACTTTTCCCACTACTCTCTAGAATGTATTTAGGAAGTTAGAAAAAAAAAACAAACAACAACAAAAGGGAGCAGAAAAAAAAGAGAAGTTTATGCATAGAAAGAGACGGATGTATCACTGAACTGCGTTTGAGCTGAAGTTTGGATTTGTACCTCCTTACTGTAACTAGGAGCTCCAGAGGGACAGCTGTCAGAGCAGACTAGGGATTTAGGAGGATTTCTCCTGGGGCTCTCACCATCACTGGTGACAGACTAAACGAACATCACACAGAAAATAAATTCACATATTATTCTTCTGATTCCTCAGCTTATTTATTGGAATGACTTAATCCAATGTTGATATTGGAAATGAGAGCTACTGTATTATGGGAATATAACGGCCTGCATCCTCCATAATAAACAAGCTGACAGAAATATTAATATTAGAAGAAAAGTCAGAATCCTGACTTATACCTTTACCTTTCCCATTTTAAACTCAAAATAAAAAATCTGTTAACATTTTTCTTTCCTCTGTGGCTTTAATCATCTTCCATTGAAAACATCAGAATTCCGACTTTAATCTCAGAATTTAGAGATTAAAGCCAGATTTCTGACTTTTATCTTTGAATTCTGAGATTGAAGTAGGAATTCTGACTTTAATCTCAGAATTCAAAGATTAACGTTAAAAAGATTAAAGTCTTTGAATTCTGACATTAAAGTAGGAATTCTGACTTTAATCTCAGAATTCAAAGATTAAAGATTAAAGTTGGAATTCTGACATTAATCTCAGAATTCCAAGACTTTAATCTTTCCAACGTTAATCTTTGAATTCTGAGATTAAAGTCAGAATTCTAAATTTAGTCTTTGAATACTGAGATTAAGTCAGAATTCTGAATTTAATCTTTGAATTCAGAGATTAAAATCAGAATTCCAAGTTTAATCTCAGGATTCAAAGATTAAAGTCAGAATTCTGCCTTTTTTCCCTATCAATACATAAATGGAATAGAAAAAAATAAATGGAGCTTTGCAGCAGTTATGGGCATAACATTTTTTTAATATGATAAATGTTAGATACTAACTTTAATATCATTTAAATCCAAAAAGTACTTTAAAAGAACTTTAACAAATTATATTTTTAAATACTTATGAGAAATATTTCAACATGAAATTGACAAGAGAAACATTTATGGATTTAGGGCCAAAGATATTGTGTTTCATTAATAGTGTTTTAAAAATGATGAGATATTTATCTAATTTGTAAAAGAAACCTGTTACCTTAGCAGGATCCTTTTCAGCCTTTTTGAAATCATCTCCATGAGCCCTCTGTTGCTCAGTTTTCCTCTGGGAACCTTCGCTTATTCTTTCAAGATTAGTGAATATACTCAGATTAGGATTAATGCAGGGTGCAGAGATAGAAGAACACGTTTCATTGTTGGATGTAAAGGAATCAGGAGGAGAAGAAGAGCGTTGCTCTGTTTTTTCAGATTGGGAGCAGAGCTGAGGAGAGGAGAGCTCTTTAGGTTCAGAGGTGTTTGGAGGAGCAGAGAAACCAGGCTGAGCGGTGGGATCAGGAACAGGGTGCACCGCAGGGAACATGGCGGAGCTTTTAGATGGAGACAGAGGAGGAGGAGAGGGCGAGGAAGGAGAGGAGAAGGTAGATGGTTCCACCTACAGAGGCAAAGCCAGACGGCGGTTAGAGAGGAAAGAAAACCGCTTCCTAATGCTTTTAACCAATCCCTACCCATTTTAAAGATATAAAAATATACATTTCTCATTAAAAGAATGTTGAAATTATGAATATATAGAAGCATAAATAACTTCTAGTGCTAGATAACAACAACTTAAGTTTAGCCTCTCAGTTATTCCAGCTTGAAATGTTTTGATTTTTATTTCGGGTTAAATGATTCTTAGTCCCGTTATTTTACCTTTTTTATGCCAGTAACTCACTTTGGTTGCATGAAATGTTTTTTTATGACAAATTACGCTTATACACAAATCAATGCTTTATAAGTATTTATGGTTTTTGCTTTTTAAGCTTTGTTTTTTGCTCAATTGGTTAATAAATATAGCCTTTCGGTGCATATTTACCATAACATCTTGTGACCAGGATTATGTCGCTGCGCATGTGTAAGATTGGTTAACAAGCTGAAAAATGGAGGCGAGCGAGTGTGAAACTCCTGGTGTGGTCCTGGAAAAAAAGCTACAGTCCAAGATTCTGCTTCCAGCTCCATCTCTTCATGCATCTCGCTCGCCTTTCTGCGTCTTTAGAAAAGCAATAAAATGGCTGTGGTTGTTGTTGCGTCGCCTATATGCTGACCGAGCACGAGTTTACCATGACTTTGCTGGTATTTTTAAGGTAAACTGGAGAAAAACAGAAATAGCAGCTTTACTTGTTTTTCATGCATGATCAATTTGTTTTGTGGTCCATGAAAGAGGAGTTATGGGGGATTGCTTGACATCAGCTGCATATTCTCTATATAGCCTTATTTTATTATAATGAACTGGATTTTGGTCTTTTTGGTTTATACATATAATAAAACTGGACCTTTAAACTTAAAAAAAATCCCTACCATTTTTATTACACTGATTTATATAACAAACATTCAATGTGTATAATTTAGTGTTGTTTATTTCCTTTTTATTCCTCCTTTTAAAAACCTACGTGGATAAAGCAGTTTGCATATTTCTAAATTTATTACTAACCTGGATTTAGTCCTCCGACTTAAACAAAGGTAAAATGCAGAAAAACAGTTTTAACAAACATTTTGGATCAGTTTAATTCAGGTAATTAAGAATGCACAGATATTAAAATTCTGTCTGAATCATCGTCCAATAATTATACTCGCAATATGGCTGAAACCCTTTGTTACTAACATGGACACTCTTGAATTTTTTTAGCTAATGCTGTCGCTAAAATCATCAATAATTAGAACCAGGTGATGAGCTCGTCAGCAGGAAGCAGCAAAGACTCTGATAACGAGTCTGAAGATCAACCCCCCCCTCGCCCACTGTTTAAGGTTTGGATAACAGGATTATAATATGAACAAGTGTTCTATTTGTAACATTATTGGCTAAAGTGTACAGATACCTAATGTAATAGATTTAGATCTATACAGTAGCTCCCCAACCAGTGGAGGGTTGATCTGCACAGGAGATATGATTCTAACAGACCACACATGCATCCACCTGCTTTCTGTAAATGTTTTTGTTTTGTTGTTCAACTTGTCAAATGTTTAGATTTTTAAAATATTCATCACTATTTACAGTTTAGAACTGTTCATTGTTATAAGGTATCAATTACTACATCTACTGTCCAAGTCAATGAATTTACGTGAATACATGAAAAATGTGTGTAGTTAAAATATTGCATTGAAAATGAAACTGTATATTTTACACAAATTAGAATTATTTAATGTAAATAATAATAATATTAATAGCATATCTATCAGGCTATAATAAGTTTTCCATTTCAGGTCTCGATATTAGGTTTATATATTCACAATGGGCACTAGAGCCATGTGAGTCGATGACATCATCAATAAACTTGCATTCTTTTGGTTAGATGTTGTCACTACCCGATCCTGTCCCAAAAGCACGATCTGACATGCATCCGGGTCGTTCCCTCCCCAAAAACACAAAACGTACTAAAATATAACCTGTTAAATCTTAATCATGTATTGCTTTAGAAAATAAATGCCTTAAAATCCTTTTATGTTTTATCACTCGTTTCTGCCTGATCTGCACAGGAAATGGGATCCTACGCTACTTCCGGTGGCTAACTTGTTCGGCTTTGGATTTAAACATAAATCTAATGTTTTTGAGTTTTATGTTTTCTTTTCGTTTTTAACCTTATGCTATATAGTACATAATCTAAAGAAAGAAGCAACTAAAAGCAGATAAAAATGGTTTAATCATATTTTACCAGACTGCTCTGTGCATGCCTGATGATGACGTCAGAGAAGCAGTTTAACGAAGAAAATGTAAAAAGCATTAAAAATGTCTCACAAAAGTCATAGAACATTTTTTAAAGATGTGTTTTAGCATTCTTTAGTGAGTTAAGGATAGAAAGTAAGTAATTTTAGTACCATAATTACATTACTTATGGACACCCGGCTGTATATCTGTTTGTGCATGCGCAGGACGGATCGTGCTACAGGAACAGATCAACGAGTAGTGACAGATGTCAGAGTTTTGGGAGTAAAATAAACACCCACAATCCTTTGCTTCATCGCTAACAGTGTTGCATGTTATGAAAAATAAACTGGATGAAAATAAACATTGGTTGTTATTATGGTCCCTTTTTTTAACTAATAAGCCAGAAACCGATGTTAATCCTGATTAATCGCACTGCTTTACAAGTAACTGATCTGATACAGAACCTGAGAAACAGTGAGAGAAGCAGGCGGTCTGTTGGACCCATGAAACATGGTGGACAAGAGGACAGCTCTGTCTTTTATGCTCCTCTGGGAAAATTCTCTGGTCGACAACCTCTGGTTTTTATTCTGAGAAGAAAGTGGAATCAGAGGGAAAAATACACAGAGACGAGGTGTATGGTGGTGGAGGGGGAGTATTTAAAGGTTGGATTAAATTCACCTGCTTCGCACACGAATCAGAGGACGGATCTGCTTCGGAGGCGGAGGGAGCAGAACCTGAATCAGGACATGTTGGGGAGTTGGGATGGGAGCTTTCTGTGTGATAACCTTCAGAGCCATGAACGTTTACTGAGCTCTGAGCGTCAGAGGATGGTGGAGAATGACTGCGAGTGTTTGGATTCAGAGGTAAACCGTTAGTAGAGAGGAAACCGCTCTGCTGAGAAACACAACTGGGATTCTCCAGCAACCGAAGGTAGATCGAAGGCTGGAAACAGGAGGACCAGGAGAGGACAAAGGATGAGTTCCCAGAGGTAAATCAACCCTTTTCTTCTAAAACCCAGGAAGAAAGGGGACGTTTGGAGACAAACGTACCTGCCATCTGGAACGAGATGGAGGAAGAGGAGAAAGAGGAGGGGTAGCTTTGGGTTTAGCAAAACGGGGGTTTTCTTCCTCCTCCTCTTCCTCCTCTTCATCGGAATATGAAGAGGTGGTGGAAGGGGACTGAGGAGGAGAAGGAGGAGGACTAGAGGAATCCTCAGACTGTGCAATGATGAAAAAGGAAACAGAAATGTTAAAAGTTAGAAAAAAAAGGAGAGAACCTTCAGAGGCCAAACCAAAGGGCAAAAAGAGATGACATGAGATGAAGACAACATACCATCAAAACAATCTGTCACATTAAGCTACAAAACCTTTATAAATAAACCTATGAATGAAGCTGAGTGTCAGCTGGTTCTCTGGGTGTGGCTTTTTACCAGGCTGGAAGCCTCTTCGGTCCAGTTTTGTCGTTTAAGGAAAGAAAGCAAACAAACCAGACCTGTAAACTTATTCTCACCTTGGTGGGCGCCTTCCCCACTGAAGAGTTCTCCTCAAATTTGGCGAGCAGCTGAGTTGCCATGGAGCGGACCTTGTTCTCCCGTAGCTCTCCATCTTCACCAGCAGGTGGCGCACTCTGGCAGGACAACTGAGGGCCAGAGAAGAGTCAGATGAATAACAGAGAGCTACTTTAACCTGAACTTTATGTTTCATTGCTGCTTAAATTCAACAGACTTCTGCAGACAAACACCTCAGTAAGGTAGCTGCTTCCTCTCCGTCGCCTTTTGTTGACAGAATCATCCTCCTCTTTCTTCTCATGCTGAGAGAAGAGAACCAAGTCATGCAGGGATTAATACTGACATCTATCTATATGAGCCTAGCATTAAAACAAACAGATAATCAACCTACAGAATATAAAAAAAAAATACAAAAAAAATATGAAGGAATGTTTGAACTTAGCCTCTATCCACACTGCACATATTTAAAGGTGCAGTAGGAGATCTTTTCTGAAGCATTTTTTACCATGCGGCTTAAAGATCTCCCCACAGCCGCTTAGCAAGCAGTGAAATAGAAGGTCTGGAAGTGAAACTAAAATAAATGGTCCCCACTACAGTTGCAAATCAACAAATAATCCCAGCTAATCACAAAAGAAGCTACGTTATACACGATTGGTTCCTGACACGTCAATCATGGTTGTCTGCAAGTCCCGCCCCCCTGTACACGTACCCTGACACATGAACGAATCGACCCCCCAATGCTCGTGTAGGACGCCATGGCTTGACGCCATGCCAGCAAGAGCACCGAAAACGCAGGTGCTGCTTCATTTTTTTATGTTTGTACCAGTTTTGTTCTGATGCGCGGCTGAAGCATCTTTGCTAGGGTGACCAGGTTATCTTTACTGGGTCAGGTTCGATCGCTCCGTCACCCACTGGCTCCCTGTTTCGACTCCCGGTCGCCTTCTTCGGCTGAAAGAAGTTTTTCATGTACATAACTATCCAAATTGCATGCACCAGGATAATAAAAGCAAACATGGTTTGCCGGCAGATTTCAGCATTTTAAGTTAATTTAGGCATTAATAAACTATTTCAGAGGAGAGATCATAGCGATCTGCATCATAAGTGCTGCTCCTGCTGCTGCTCTAGACGCGCTGCAGACAGCATGCGCATTCATGCGTTTTGAAGGCGTGGTTTCGAGGGATGGTCTGAAGGGAGAGTCATGGTTGCGTATGTAAAAAAAAAATTGCTTGCTGGAACCGTTTTTCCAAGATCTCCTAAAGCACCTTTAATTTTACCTGAAAGGCAGTAATCAGAACAATTACGGTACAAGATAATTAGGTGATTAAAGCTGTGTGGTTAATCAGCAAAAAAGAGACAAACTTATATTCATATCCTGCTTTGTAATCCAGATCAGAATCATCAGCAGCTTTGTCCGTGCTTTATAGATTAGGTGGAGGAAAACCAGCAGGTCTCCTCTGTGCTGCTCTGACTGCATGGAGGGCTTTCAGAATAAGATAGTTAGGGAAGTAGAGAGAGTTTCATGCAAGCTCTAACTGGACTGCAGAGTCTGCTTCACAGCAAGACAGACAGAAGCCAATGGTGGAGGTTTTTCTAAAATAAAGTACATATATTAATTTCTTGTTTTTGTTTTTTTTTTTTCCCCTAAGGCACACCTTAGACTTTGTTACCTACAAAGTTGACACATATGAGTTATTTTATATGATTCCTCAGGCCAATATACAGTGTTTGACACCACTAATAGTACGTGCGGGGCTCCCCCCTTGAAATACTGCCTATGTAAGTTGGGAGACGACGCACCGTCGTTGGCCGTGTCATGGGACCTGGAAGAACGTACCGCTTTACGGCCAAAGGTTCTTATATGGAGCTAAGGCTTTTGCTCTACTATTTTTTCGCCTCATTGAGCACCAATGGCTGAAGTACGGAAAAAATTGAGGCTAAATGGCTAAATGATGCAAAAACAAGAGCCTATCATGGAAAGCAGTTTGTTCATTGGCGCCAGATCATGTGAGTGGAGTGAGCGGTGGACCGGAGCGGAAGAAATATGGTGGAGGGAAGAGCGGTTTTCAATTCAAAGGCTGGAGGGAGGATTTGGCTCCACTCCAGTTCGCTCCGACTTTATTTATATTCATGTTTGACTTAAAACCCCTGGCCAATGCCAATGCTGTGGTGTGTGCCTATAATCTGTTATAGCCTGTTTCAACTGTACCACAGAATATCAGAGATGAGGATTGCTTATTGTGTGATAAACCGTGGGATAAGATATCATAAAAACATACACTAACTATACTTAACAATACAGAGTGGGTTTACATAAAGTGATCATTGTGGTAAGAGCCTGTTTAAAAAAAAAAAAACAGGCTATTAGCTCATTTGCAATGGGAAGTGACGTTTTTTAATCTGGTCTAGTCAAATAAATAAATAAGAAACGCGGAGAAACATGAATGCAGCGAGGTGTTACATTCGCAGCTGGAAACATAATAATAATTTATATAATATATAATAATTATATAATAATTTATATAATATATAATAATAATAATAATAATAACACAATAATTTAACAGCCAGTTAAATAAGACAATACACGTGTATCGGTCACATCATTAAATCAAACGCCGTGTGTCCCAGGGCCATAATTACATGAAGGAAAAATGTCAGAAAACGTCTTCTCCTGTAAATTGGATCGAGCGTGGAGCGATTTCGCTGGAGCGGCAGGAAACATCCTCCTGAGCGGGAATTGCGTGGCGCACCGCTCCGTTCACATGCTCTGATTGACGCAGGCTGAAAGAAGAAATCGGATGTAAAACTGATTCTCTTTTCTCATCTTTATTATTAGACTGTTAAGGTAACACTTTGCTTGTAATATACAGTCATATATCTTTATTATTATTATTTTCAATGTTTAGTGGAAACAAAGTACGGGCAGTTACAGGTCTAGCGCCCCTAGTGGCCAAAAGTTAACGGTGGGCCTTTAAACAGATTATTATGAGAATAAGTACAAAAACACGTTAGTAACACTATATCATGCACTTTAAACCTTTTTCAGTCGTTCTGAAGGTGTGGCGGCTTTTAGTTACACATTTAGCAGTAACCCTGTTAATGTTATAGTTTATTTCAAGCCAAGATTCCACCAACATACACTTTACAGTCTAAGGAAGCGGCCGTTCCAACCGTTGCATTTTCTGAATTCTCCCAAGTGGTGAACAACGTTACACGATTGAATAAAGTGAATGTGATTGGTAGATTATCAAGGGGGCGGGATTGTTGTGGTGGAAGGTTCGCAAGCAGGTTTGGTTGTGGCCGGTTTCTCAGAAGCATCTTGCTAACCAGTAAGCAACTTAGTGCTAGCAGGTTCCTAATGGGAAATTCCATTGGGACCAAGTAGCACTAAATTGGTGCCTTAGAAACGACGCTGTCAAGGAACGCTATGGACAGAGGAAACATGCAAGAGGAGGAGAGTTTAGTGTCGGAGGTCGTGGATGAGTCTCCTCCGTCATCCATTTTTTATTTAGAGGAGGAAAGCGGGGACGAAGATGTTGTGGAAGAGGACGCCAGGGCGGCAGAAGCTTGGTTTGGTGTAGAAGGCTTCCAGCCGTACATGTTTGAGCCCTTGCCTCGCAACGCTGCCAGTTCTGTTAGCTCTACGCCTGCCGAAGACACAGACGTCCATCCCCGTGAACACTGGGACGCAACTCAATGGGAAAGTAAAGGATTCTGGTTTCAACCGTTGCGTATATTAGCTGCGACACATGAATCAAGATGCTATGATGGAAAAAATTTTATTGGCTGAATTTAGGTGTTCAGGCTGAGGTATAAGTAACTGGCCTGCATAAGATAACGAGAAAAACCCCCACATATTTTAAGACAGGACTTTTTTAAGAATAGAAATTTTCTAAATTTTGGCACAATATCATCTGATAAAGAGTACATTTATATACATGCTTAAGCCAGAATGATTTGACATTTAAAAACGACTTCCCTTCGACCTTAAAGAAAAGAAGTGAGAATGGAGACATTGATTTTACCCTGGGTACTCTCTTCCTGGGCTGAGGCAGGTTCAGCTGTCTGTGGTTGGCTTTAGGTGGACATTGCTCCCCGTTTTTATTTGGTTCCTTTGAAACTGTGGAACAAAAACAGTTAGTTTAGTTTCATCCTGCAAATAAACAAAAAAAAATTAACAGTTTAAAATCACAAGATAAAGAAAGCAGTAAGGTGGCAAGATAAGATCAGAAATAAAGCCACTTAACACTTACTAAAATCAACAAAGATAAAACCAGGGCTGCCACTAACGAGTATTTTGCTAATGGATTCATTTGGATAGATTTTATTTTTGATTGAGCTATAATTACCGTAATAATCTGATATCAAAAGGTTATTTAAAGATTTTTTAACCGTTAAACCAGGTTAAACTAACAAATTATCAGTTCAGCATTATAGAACATATTGACGGCATTTTATCTTAAATGCAAAATATTTACATATATATTTCTCTATTCTCCAGTTAATGATTATAGTTTGATTCCTAGCTGAAACATTTGCACCATTTATTTAAACAGCAGTTTTTTTAAAACTTAACTTTGGGGTTTGATGAGACCACTTGTCCAGATCTTTCCTACATTTCAAATGTCTTATTTAATTAAATCTGCTGTTGCCCCTCATTACATATAATGCTAACAGGCAGCACTTCTTATTGGTCAGAAATTAATGGAGAAAATGTTGGACGCTGGAGCTTCCAACAAAAAAAAGAAGAGATACCAAGACGTGGTGTCAGCTGTAGCGCTGTAGTAAGAAAAACAAAACAAAAAAAACTTAAACTGCTTCTTTCTGCTAAACTGAAATTTTTATCAACACTGCAGCATAGCAATATATTAAACGACAAACATTTAAAAGCACCTTCTACCTTTTCAAAGATACGGACAAACAGGAAACAATAAGACATATAGATATTTATGTTTAAAGGGAATAATGTGTGGAATTGACACTAATGCAAGAGGAAGAGCCTAAACATAATTTATGTAATTATGAATAAAAGGAGGAACATTTGCTTAACCTCATACAAATTAACAACTAGTACTTGGTTTAACAGTTATATTGAATGTGTTCAGCAGCAGCCATGTGCTCTAATATGTTCAATTTAGATCTTCGAGCTACAGGAGGTTCTTCCTGCCTGCAGCTATCAATATTAACAACTTATTAGGAAAGAAACTTAAGAGTAAAATTATTTCTTATCCCCTTTTGGGATGAAAAAACAATTTTTTAAATTAATAGAATACATATTTCAATAGATTTATCATATAAAGACCGTCTTTTAGAAGCATTTTTTGCAGAATCTAACTCACATATGTCAAAGTCACATATGTGCCGGATCTGACCAGTGAATTGTTTATCCATGGCCCCCTGGATGATATTTAATTACCATTAGAACCGGCCCACAGGCCGCGGCCGATTGTGCGCGCTGCTGTGACTTTGCATGCTGCCGTTGCATTGTGGGGGATGTAGTGTTGGTCCAGTTTTTTTGCACCAACAATGCATTCCTAGGGGAAATCATGATTGTGATTTTCTTTTATTAAAATTTTTTTTGTTGTGCTTTACATGTTTGGATTGTTTTGGTTTTCCCCTTTAACAATTCAAGGTGGGCTGGAAGCGGAATGCACTATGTTGCTCTATCCCTCAGATGGAGGGAGGGGGGGAGTTGAGCCTGCAGCAAACAGACACTCTGCTGAGCGAGGTGCAGGTGGGATCCGCACCATACTCTGATCGAGACAGAGACCTACTCATAGGTGCAGACCTCTGCCCTGACTGTGCCATCTGTTCACCTCCCGGTAATTCTGTCCGGTATCCCACCTGCCCCTCGCTCAGCAGAGAGTCAGTCTCAGCTCCCCTCTCCTTCCATCCAGGCTCCTTTATTTTGGCTTCAACCAGCCTCTGCTGACACCTGTAGTCTGTAGTCTTTTTGATTCTTCGGTCCTTTTTGGTATTGCTCTCCTTTTTGTTTAATAAATTATTTTTTTTAACAAACCTCTGGCTCTGGATCTTCTGCTGTGATGCATCACAACATTTGTTTTTACAAGTTGTGATTTTTCTTTGAAGGACTTATTGTTTTGTCTGTGTGCCTTAGACTCAGGAAAAATGCAGAAAAGAGCCATGAGAGAGAATACAACTGATTAGATTTTTTTCTTTTCTTATTTTACTATTTGAAAGCGGTGATCAGTGCAATCATAGAGCAGCACAGTAATGCATTTTTTTGGTTTATAATAAATGCACTTTCATTTATGTATTTATCTTACTAAGTTTCTTAGTTTGTTCAATAGCCTACGTTTATATCAATATGTTTTAATAAACATTTAACCAGGCCGATCCTGGCCCTCTGTGTATTTATCTTACTAAGTTTATTATTATTAAAAAAGTTTATTAATAATATCTATATTAATATATATATATATTTTTTTTTTAAACAATGTGTTAGGTCTTGGTTCAATAGGCTATGTTCATATTAATAAGTTTTAATAAACATTTAACCAGGCCAGTCTTGGCCCTCTGTGTATCTTTGACATCCCTGATCTAACTTAATTCTTACAGAACATTATTTTTTAGCGCAAATCTTCAAAAAAGCCTTAAAAAATAGAGAATAACCCCTTAGTTCTGCCAAATACCACAGACTACTTTACCATAAACTATGGTGGTAAGTTCCCACCAAAAGCACTGAGAATGCTCACCTAGACTCTATAATTTCCCTGCCTCTTAGAGGTTTGAATTACTGCTGAACATTTAAAGCTACAAATGCTGCCTGAAGCTGAGGGAGCAGCTAGCAGAGGAGGTGGAAGCAGAGAGGAAGGCCTCTGGAGTTACATGGATGTGACTGGATAGGCTTCCACAGACATAGCAGGCATACCAGGACGGTTTCTGGCAGCCACTAACCTCACCGCAGTTGTGTAACATTCAATTCAAGGCTCAGCGGCTCCCAGAGGGCAAAACGAGCTCCTTCAGGCTCTAAAGGTTTCTGATAAGGTGCATTTTTTATGGTCGTATAGGAAGGCTTTAAATTCAACAAGAAGCAGACGAACAAACTGGAGCAAATTCTTCTCTGTAAAGTCAATTATTTCATCTAACCTCAAACACTGGAATTGCTTAAAATATCTATAAACTAGGGTTAAAAACTAGACTTTAAAAACCCAGTTTGATATTGGTTTAGAAATATTAACTCTGAGGATTTAACATCTAAAAATTATTCTAAAAAAAAATAAGTGTCTGGAAAACATAAATGTTCTTTTTTTAATGCAGAACTGCGACAAAGACGGACCATTATTGTTCAACGATGACTTCCTGAAGGCCTCGAAGAATTTGGAGAGGTAGAGGACCATCAGCAGCTTGTCTGGTTCGCCTCTCGCAGCCATTTCCTTCCCTGTGGTCACTGGCTGGATGCCGAACTCGCGCTCAGCCACATCGAACGCCAGCTGGTTGTTTTTCGCCACATCCTCCTCGTTGAGGGAGTCAAAGTCACTGAATGGACAGAAAGAGATAATCATGGGTTCCCAAAGTAAGGAGGAGAAGATGATTTCACATTCACTGGGATGTGATCCCTAATCCATAAAGGGTCAAATTAGTTCAGAAAACACAATCATACGAATGTCTAATTAAATAAATTGTATATTTTTTTTTATTAATACCTGATTCGATGTCAAATATATCTTTAAATTCTAAAATGAACCATTAAATAATGAAAATATATTTAAATTGATTAAATTAATTATTAAGTGTCATTTTATAAAGTACATTTCACTGTGTTTTTAGGGGCCCCTATACTTGGGGTCACAGCATAGGCCCTTTCAGCCCATTTTTGGAGATGCTGAATCACCCCTAAATTTAATCTGAGCACCTTAAAATATTGTTTTTATAGTCTATGCACTTTTCAAAATAAAAACTTACTATAAAAGTGTAAAAAGTGTACTGTAATTTGTTTAAACGGATGAAGAGGAAGATGACAAGTACGACTTAAGAGACTTAACTAATCTAAAACTTTAATTCCTTTAAAAAAAAAAGTCCAATTAGCTCTTTTTTGGTGTTCATCAGATGGTAACTTGTTAATGATAAATGAGCTGTAAAAATGTCAAGATTTATGAAGACAGGAATCCTGCAAACATTTCTGTATTATAGCAACTAAATATCCTTTATTAGCAAATATACAGGAGGTTAAGAACCTTTGCTTCATGCAGAATCAAAGTCAAAATAAAACTTCAGAGTTAAGCCGTCTGTTAGCGTAATGTTTCATAAGTTTCCTGAATGTGCTCCGTATGCTTTTGTTGGTTCTTACATGAGTTCAGGCCTCTGGCGGTGAATGAGAGCACACAGGGCCAGGCCGCTCCTCCAGGACGACGTGAGGTCGGTGACATCCACTGCTCTGTATCCCTGAGTTTGGGTCTGACTCCAGGTCAGGAGCCTGCCGGGCCGTACCTCGGACTCTGCGTGAGAGAAACCACATGTTGGTTCATTACCGCCAAGATGGCTGCACAGCATCAAAGGAAGAAGCATTTTCAGGCCAGAAAGGGGTTTGTTTTCCCCTGAGTGTTTTATTTCTGTCCGGACTGGAAACTGCATGTTCTTTTGGACCTCTGCCATGTGAGCTGATCCACTTTCTGAAGCTAAAGCTGCAGAACCTCGGCATCAGAGCAGAAACACAGCTAAACTGTCCTACTTAGAAAATAACCAGAACGTCCACACTTTGATGCATAACAAGGCTTCAGCCCATGTTGGGATTCATTTGTAGAGGCAACGCCGTCACTGAGGGAGAGAGAGGCTGCTGCTTTATAACCCTGTATGGATATCGAACGAGAAGTACAAAATGCACAATGCACAGACATTTTCCTTTCATTAAACATATCCTAATAACGTCATAGGCCGATCCAGTTAAAGCAGCCAAAACGCTGTGTTCAGAAGCTGTCCTGCTGCAGTAATGTGCCTAAAAACATAAGTTGAATTTACTTAACCAAGTTTTGTCAACTGCTTCCACTAAACAAAGTAGATTAAGTGAGTATATTTACTTTAACACCTTAATTAAAGACAAAAAAAATCAAGAGGATAAAATCTCAGAAAACTAAATGCTGAGAAGTTAAATCTAACTGATGCTAATAAGGGTAAAATATACCAGTTTTGTTCAGTTTAGCTTATATTATGGAGCTGCATTAATGTTACTGGATTTCATTGATGGAGTTTATTTTTTCACGTTAGTTTAATGAAACCAGCTGACATAAATATATACAACACTTTAATTTCTAAGGTTTCCTTAAAATAATCAAACAAATCTATCAAACTGAACCATCTCAGAGCTTTTTAGAAAGTCAGATTTAGGAACAATGAAAAAGGTCTCGATCAATAACCATCAATAACAACCTTAGATTGAAAAATGACAATGAAACAGATCTTCATCATCACCCAAAAACCAAGTCTATAAACCAGCTTCTATTTTAATAATGGTGCTACAGAGGTTAAAAAAAGACATGCCGCAAAGCATTCTGGGAAATAACAGGAATGTTATATATCTTATATTTAAAGTGACATGGTCATGTTGAATTAGTTTGGTTCATCTTTAGTGAATGAAAATCTCTTGATTAAATACAAGAAAACTGCATAATTTACATAATTTGAAGCCTTACTCTGAGCATTAAATAGTGACATAAAACAAGGAATGTCCCAATTTCATTACTTTTAAGAATCAGAACCAGAATCAACTGTGGAGAATATTAATTATCATATATATCTATTCAATATTAAGTAGCAGGATTGTTTTGAAATCAATTCTTTATCTTCAGCTGTTCAAACATATCTTCCAGCTATAATTTAACCTGCTAATGTTCAGCATGAAAACTTAAATTTTGGTTTTAATCCGACCATAAGACAGTTACATAAAGCAAGCCGCGTGTCTATTTCAGACTAGTGGTGGCTAAAAACAACACAACCACTTCAGGGTCAATTTATAGCATAACAAAAGAAAAATTAAAGATTTATTTTCTACATAAATTACTGATGACATATGTATTTATGAAACCCATTAATAATAAATATCCACATATTTAAACACATTCATACCATCTAAATTATCCAAGTATCTAGTGAGCTTCGGTTTTAGCCATGCAATGTCGCTCCACTGCTCTTACCGTCTTAAAAAATGTTTAAAGTTGTAGGGAAATCATATTTAAATGTCAAATCCTTCTGGCTTACACATGTATATAAATGTACTCTTTATCAAATGATGTTGTCCCAAAATTTAGAAAATTTCTATTTAAATATTTTTTTTTCCGTTATTTTATGCAGGCCAGTTAGTTATGCGTCAGCTTGTACACCTAAGTTCGGCCAATCACATATCAATGGTCATCTGTCAATCAAATATTTTCTGGTCATAGCATCTTGATTCATATGTTGCAGCTAATGTATGCAACGGTTGAAAGAAGAATCTTCACAGAGAAGTGGTGACGGTTACAGGGTTATATTTTAAGAGCGAATTGTTGGTCGTTTCTCAATTCACTAGAACGTAAGTATGGACCCGTGTCCTCGCCAAGTATGTTCTTGAGAAGAACACAGATAAGTGTGGCCTCTGGGAGAACAGGAGCACGCAGCATAACTATGGGTCAATTGGTACAGAAGCTGACTTTTATCATTCAGTGGGGGAATAATAATTAACAAGGTCAGATAAACACAAATCAAATGAACATTTTGCCAAATAAAACTAAAATATTGGCATCATGGCCAGCAGTCCTTCATACACGACCAATCACATTCACTTTATTCACTCGTGTAAAGTCGGGCACCACTCGGGAGAATTTGGAACTGCAACGTTTGGAGCCATTTCCCTACGAATTTAACAAGTTCATGAGAGGAAGAAAAGAAACCTCAGAAATAAGACCAGAGTTTACTCAGGACATGATGTACTGTTATTGTCAGTTATGGCTAATATACAAAAAATGTCAAATTAGCCATTTCACCTGAGGGTATCACTACTGCCACCCTGTGGTTTGGAGAGGAACTGCTCATTTTGGTTATGAACTATGTTTATATACGAATAACAAATTACCTGGAAACACTGGCCTCGACATGCCCTAGTCTAGCTCCGCCCATGCCTACAAAAAACAGCTTTTTTAATTCAGTTAATTGCTTTTTTTTTTCTTTTAGCATTATATACCTAATGAAAATGTTCAGCTGGATTGAACTTCCTTCTTTTACCTCAGAGCTCTTTAATTAGCAGTAAAACAAACAGATTTCACTTTGGATGTTAGCAGCATCTCTTCCAGGCTATTTTTATTTTTTATCTATCCATGTTAAACAACATTTTAACATGATAATAGCAGCTCATATCTTGAAATGTTGCAGTCACTTTTAAAACGGTTGGTTTGTCCTTTTAGTTTCCAGAGGTTCATAGAGATGATGTGCAGGTGTCTGTTCTGGTTACTTTTTATTGACCACACCAATCTGCTCTACAGCCAGTCACTTTAGGACAAGGGTGGACAATTCCACATCCTGCGACTTTTAGATCCATCCTTGGTCCAACACACCTGAATCAAATGGCTGAGTTACCTCCTCAGCATGCAGAGAGTTCCTCCATAATCCTCTAAATCTTCTAATTTCTTAATTCAGGTGTGTCGAACCAAAGGCACATCTAAAAGTTGCGGTATGCTGGCCCTCAGGAACTGGAATTGCCCATCCATGCTTTAGGAGGAGCTCAGCAGATCCTGTGGCAGGTTGATCTTACATTACAGTGACTGTTTCATCATGCAGGATCCTCCAATATGCTCCATAACCTGACGTTTAAACCCATAACTTTACGTTCTCTATTATCCCTCCATGAATATAAAATGTTAATAATGCAAGCAGCCTATGCTACTTAGGGAAGGAACTTCTGCAGGTTTCAAACCAGTCTGACCCAAGCACCTCATGTCCACACACGCCTTAGAAACCCTCACCTGAGTGTAATGTCATCCAGCCGTATTGTCTGATAAGGCGTGCCAAGCCTGTGACTCAGGCAAGGACAGGGTTGCTATACAGGGAGAGCTGAGAAAACATTCACTCTGTCGAGTCTTTTCCCAACTAAACACGACGGTTTCACTCCGGTAATACATTGTGCTTCCATAAACATAGGATTATTTTCAAGCTTCCACGCCCTGTTAAGGGAAGCTTGTTTAGGTATTTATTTTAATTCAGTTTGTAGACATTTGATCACGTTTAAATGTAAACATGAAGCTAAGAGGCTGTGGGTCTAAACATTGTAAAGTCCAACATTAATCCAGACAAATGTTTACTCATATGACCAACGTTTAAAAGAAAAGGTGCAACAGTTCTCCACCTCTCATTCAGTGTAATTCAGCACCATGTTAGCGAATCGTAAAAGTCTGCATGCTGGCATGAGGTTCACCCTTTTCTTAACCTGACATTAACCAACAACACCAAATTCTAACCAGCTTCTGCACCCGTATTTTGGTTCTCTTGAATTCCAGATGGAGACTTTGCAAGAAAAAACTCCTTAAAACCAAGCATTTTAAAAAGGATATGTATGGAACTAAATTTGGGCCATAAAGTTTGTTTAAAAAAAAGAAATAAATAAATTTTCATTTTCATAATGGAAAAAAAGAAACTTTGAAACTTGTGTTTTTTTAAACTGAAGAAAAGAAGATTTAAAACTGGGGGGGGGGGGGGGGGGGGGGGGGATGCTTAAAGCTACAATTAAGTTTTTTTTTTCTGTTTTAAACCGTTTTTCCAGTTTAAAAAACATCTTAGTTTCAGATTCAAAAACATTTTTCAGTTTCAAATCTTGATTTAATTGTTATATATAACAAACCTTATGGCTTTAATTACAGACAGTTTGAACTGTTTAAGACTACAAAAATCTGGAAACATTGGTTCATTTAAGAGGTTAACAAAGTATTTTAAAAGAAATATTGCTGAAACTAAAACTTAAGAAACCTTTACCTTTTCTGGAGAGGTTGACTGATCTTCGTGAAAGCCCTCCTTTTTCCACCACACCTGAATTACCATCAATGAATAAGTGACGTACCTGAAAGAAACAACCAAGGACAATTGGAGACACTACGGTGCAGCTGTCCATTATTTTAGACAGAGATTAATTAATCGATTTTTTTTTTTTATTACTATAGGGAGTATAGAGATCTGCTGGTGAAGATTCTCAGTCATCCAGGTCAAAGTCATTTCAAAAAAGTTAAAAACAACTGACAGCAGCTGTCCTACAAACTCCCACATCTTGACTGAATACTGAGGCTGTTTAGATGCCCGTCGAAGTTCCAGGTGAGCTGAAGCATTTCTCTTAGTGGTCAGGTGGTATGGTGAGGTAGAGAGGCTTCGGACGTCATCTATTTTGGCTCCTCCCCCAAATAAAGCAAGCCTCGATACGTGCCCCGTGGAAACGCCCCCTCCACTACTCGACCTCGAAGCCTCGGATCATCTCATAACATCCCTTATTTCAGCTCTGCAGGAGTGGAGCCCAGTCTCTTCATTGGTTCGGCAGGTTTAATGCAGCAAATAAATGGCTAAATGTGTGAATTCGGAACATTTGTTCTCTGTTGTGCCGCCTGCTAGCATGTTCAATTCAATTCAGTTTATCTATATAGCGCCAGTTCAAAACTCATGTCATCTCAAGGCACTTTACAGTTCACAAGATCATATAGTCAGGATTGACTCAAAGTTTTCTATCTAAGGAAAACCAGTTGAAGGCATCGACTCATTGACTCAAATGCAATCCCTCACACTAAGCATGTAGCGACAGTGGAGAGGAAAAACTCCCTTTTAACAGGAAGAAACCTCCACCTCCAGTGTGAGTGGCCTAAATGAAAATTAGCCCCCAATTCAGACATTTCGAACTTTGACTTCCCCCTCTGGCGGTGAGGAAAAAATCCATAGAAAAGCTGCACCTTTTCATGGTTCAAAGCATGGGAAACAAGTGGCGGATATTGTCCAGAAAATACGGCATTTAAAGCCCAAGAAATTAAATCAGCGTAGATTTTCTGTACTATATTGCATGAAACCACAGAAGAAAACGTTCCTATTGCCTTTATTAATAAATTATTTTGCACCCAGCTTTGTTAGAGTCACAGTGAAGGAAGCTCTGCAGCCGCAGGTTGCAGACCAGTTTTAGAGTCAGTTTCCATTCTCTAGGGAAAAATTTGATAACCAAACTTGATGACTATTTTAATAATCGATAAATCAGGATTAATGTGATGGTTTCAGCCCTAAAACCATATTGACCAAGAGATAATTCTACTTTTGCATTTACATGAACTTTAATGACATCCTTTTCTCATTTTAAAAGGCTGAATTTGACATCTGCTCCAGTTCGTCCTACAGGTGTCATAAGAAGGCAGGAGTCTGTGCAGACCAGTCAACTTATTCAACATCAAACTTTATTCACCTGCTGCAGTCATGCAAGCGACTCTAACATCAAAACTTTTAATCCAGCGGTGTGACCCGATACATTTGGCAATAAAGTGTATTTATAGTTAGAAAAATATTTATAACAGTTTTTATGTAGCAGCTTTCTTAATTTGAAAATGTGATACATTTCAGCACCTCCCATCAATACATTTCTTACTGAAAGAGGACGCAAAAAGTCAGATTTTAATAAGATACTCCAAATAGTTGAATAAAGCCTGCTCCATGACAAAAACTATGGGATGTCAAGGTTTCTTTTACCTGCTTTTTATGACCAACCCAGGCTTTTCCATGCTAGAATATAGTCCATGCACAGCTTTTTGTTTTTATCTTGTAGTGAGGAGGAATGGGAGATTTGAGCTCAGTCGCAGTGATTGTTGCTTCTGGCTAAAACTGGTCTAAACATGTTAGAACATCAGGAAAATTATCTATCCTTTAAAATTCATACAGCAGCTGAAAGCAATCAGGTACCTGTTGTGGCCGTACACAGCTGGAGTTGAGGTTGGGGTAGCGAGTAGCAGGATCGATGGTGTACTGATCAAAGTTCTTACTGATGTTTTCTGGAGTCGTCTGAGGCAGCAGACGATAAATACTTTCCCTTAAAGAGAGAGAAAGGATGACAGATTTTAAACGCAGCAGTTTATTGGTATTCTTTATGTTTATAGATATTCTAAAGCAGCACTTAATTATATCAACTTGTTATTTTTGAGTAGGGCGTCGCCTACAGGACCATTTAGAAAATAGCATGGAGGGCAGTTAGGTGGAAGATGCATATGACCAGTGTTGGGAAAGGTCTCTTTCTACGTGAACTAGTTCAAAGTTCAGTTCACACATTTTAAAATGAACTAGTTCAGTTCATAGTTCATAATTCAAAATTTTGAACTAAGTTCACAGTTCCAAAAAATGAACTAGTTCATAGTTCTTTTTTTTTTCATGTATTGCTCCATTACACCATAGCCTACTGTAGAACCACAGACAGCAATTATTTTATCAGTTGTAACTCTGAAACTGTGCGTCAGATTTCATCTTCATATCCAGTTTTGAATCCTCATCCAACCAGGGTTTACATTAGCATTGAGGGGACAGCATTTCCCCATTGTTGCTTTAACGCTTTGTTGCTGTCCATTCACTTCACACTAGTAGCAGCTGCAGCTTTCACCCCTACAGTATATTCTCAAAAACATCAGGAAAAATGTGCTGCTTGAATGGTCTTTTTTATGAGGAATTATTAAAAGAAAAACAGGAAAGTAGTCTTTAAGGTGCAAATGTTTTTTTTTTTTTTTTTTTTTTAATTACTTTTTCCATTTGAAATCCCATTTCAGTACATACTAAAAAGGAATCCTGGAAAATTATACCAGGCAGGTTTAAGTGCGGATTTTTCTACTGAAAGCCAGCGGGCAAAGTCTGCAGAGAAATGTTAGATTGTTGCTATCATCCTCACCGACCACCTGGTCATAAACCTGTTTTAAGTGCTCATACTGCTGCTTTGTCGCCTCCACGGTCGCCTCCATGCTGCTGTGGCTTCCACGCTGCATTTTGTTTTGATGACGCACGCGGCTGTAGCACGACACTGGTAGCTGGTGTTGCCAGATTGGGTGTTTTTCCCCGCTACATATTAAGGCCTGTTTACGGTGTGATTTAGCCGAGGTTTCGCCTGGAGGGCTCTAAAGAAATCTGGCAACCTATTAAACGGAGCTGAACGGAGAGAGCGTGCTGTTCACAGACACCAGAATGAACGAGTTCACAATAACGTTCATCAGGCAGTAATGCAGTACGTTCAGTTCACGTTCGCCCAAAATATGAACGAGTTCATGAACTTTCGTTCAATGAACGCGTTCATTGAACGAAAGTTCAATGAACGCGTTCAGGCACAACACTGCATATGACCTCAACATATCTGAAGCGGTGGGAAGTATTGTAATGTAATGCAGTGTACAGTAGATATATTTTAATATAGGGTGACCAGACGTCCCCAATTTCTGGGGGCAGTCCTTGTTTCGACCACCTGTCGCCGGCTAAAGCTGTCCCCGATTTCAACATTTTATGAATGAGGGGGGAAAATGTTGCATTTAAACTCTTATTATAGTAGAAAGAGTGCGTGAGCAACCTGCACACAGAAAAAGCTGTTAACAAATAGATAAGGAGCAGAGTGCACCAGTCTTATACTCTTAATATTAACCTCATTTTGGGAATTTCTCACCTATTTTGCATACCCAAAAGAGCATGAAATATTATCGTTAATGTTAATATATTGATGTGGATAATTAGCCACATTGTTTTTGTTGTCAAGTAATTGTTAATATATGAAAAGTTAAAATGTTTTTAATATTCCACTTAAGAGTATTACTGCTGCCACTGTCTGTATTGGAGGGGAAAAAACGGTAGGGGTGGCCAATGATTGGCTAAGGCCCCCTGGCCCCCCATCTAGCTCCGCCCCTGCCTGGCAGCAGCCAGATTGATGTGTGTAGAACTGAGTTGAGTCCTACGTTATCAATCAGGGATGGCTGCCGTTCAGTCTGACCGTGAAAAGGACGACGACAATACTTCGAGCTGATTGGGTTACATGCCAGCTAGTCCCCGCCTTCCATGATACGCTTTCAGCCCATCGTAGCAGCGAATCATGACGTCTTGTAAGCTGATAAATCAACCTTTTTCCAAATCCTGTCAGAAGAAAAAACAAAGACATCTTTCCGATCTACAAAAATGCACAAAGTGCTTTTCTTTGCTCCTTTTTAAACGAGAAATTGTCGCCATTTTAGCTAAAACTGAATCAATTGCGATATCAACAGGTAGTCCTCCAGCGTAGCCATGTTTGTAATCCCTCTGTAATCCATTCTTATACGTCCTGCTCCAAAAGACACTGCTGGAATGTCATTGGTCCGACCCGCTGGTGGTTTGAAAACGGACGTATTAGCAGGAGTCTTTAAAGATGGATGTTTTTTGAGACTGAAAACTCAGATGTTGCGACAATCCACGGGGAATCGCACAATCGGCTCATAACCTCTTAGATTACCATCACAGGGTCTCTGAGTGCGATTTATTAAGTTAGTGCTGCTTTAACAATCAAATTTAGGGCTTTTTTAGTAATTGAGTATTTTCCCTGACATATCAAAATGATTTAATGAGCAATCAGATAAAACAACACATTTAACGACTTCAGATGATCCTGTAAGACAAATGCATGAAGGATAAAATGTATGATACAGCTTAATGTTTTTTCTTTTGATAAAACAATTCTACGTTTAAAATGCAATAATGTAGCATGTTCTAATAACAATATGTCACACGGCTACCCTGCTCTGCTTGACGTGGCTTAAGGTCCTCCTGCACACTTCCTTCTGACTATTTAAAGGTTTTCTTTTGTTTTTTTTTAGTTTATTGTAACAAACCATTCTGTGCCAATTTACATCACCTTGTTTGTTACTGCAAAATGGGAAAAAAGCCAAAACATATTGTCTGACACCATTATTAAAATGCTACATTATTTTTTCAATATCCTAAAGTGTTTTTCTGGCACAAATTCAAATTACAAACTAATCCACAGAAGAGACCTGCTCAGTTCTGATGCGTCTCAGCAGGTTTGGTATGAAACCTTCTCTTAAAGTGAATTTGTGACGAAGGCCCTCTTGCTTTGTTCTTCCCAGTATCTTTAAAGAGTGTCCAGATGCAGCCTTGCTTTTTGGCTGCTGAAAAACACAGCTGATGACAGCTGCTGGCTCATTTGGCCGTGAGCAGGGCAGAGTATAAGGAAGTGACTATGCTTTTTAATCCATGGTAATGGGCCTGAATGCACGTCTTTGAGAAGCTACTACAGGGCTCGATGTTAACCATCGCCCAATCTCTCGGGGCAAGTAGTTTTTATTGTAGGGAGAGTACAAATTTCCCATGATCCCAAATGATCATGGGAAATGATCCCCAAAAAAAATTATTTATCACTCAAGATTACTTTAAAATCACCAACACTTGATGAAATCAGAAGCGTTGCCGGTGCCATTTTTGTTGTTTTGTACACATTCTCGCGTGATTTGAAAAAGCCGGGTGATGATTTTCCGCCAGATGGCGGGATTTTTGTCCATCTAGCGGTAATTTTGATGTAGTTACCAAAACGACAAACAAGTTAGAAAGCGCTATCAGATGGCAGTATTCTGTACGGTGATGCAGGTCATACATTAAAAAATTTTCATTTAATTTTTTTCTCGTAGACATTGGAGAGGTGCATTTAAATGTTATAGAGCTAAACCTGTTAGATTGGTGACCTGTTATGTTAATATTATTGTCTTGTTGCTGCATTTATTTTGTCAGGGGAAACTAATCCTGTCACTTCCTTAAAAGTCAGGGAATTCTGAAATTATGTAAAACTGTGGAAACCCTGTATAAAATAACTATGTATAACGATTCTCTAGAAAAGTCACATTACATTAATAGTATTATCTTGTATAAACATACCGTGACTCTAAAATAAAAGTTATTCATTTGTTACATTGACTTCTGTCTTGTGATTTATCTTAAGTTTTTAACCTGTCAAGTCTTTTTTTTTTAGATTTTTAACATTACAATTTATATTTTCCAAGCACAAAACAGTTTAAAGGAAAATTTAGTTTGAAAAAAATGGAAGGATTGAAAAGCATGTTAACACGGTAATGTAGGATTGAGTTCATTATCTGACGCATGCAGATACACACCAGGAACCTGGAAACTTAAAAAATACTGAATTACAAAAAACATTTAAAAAAACAAACATGTTTCATTGATATATATACAAAAATAGATATTAGGAAATATAGACTATATTTATCAAACATTATACTGGGCAAGTAAAAATTGTTTCAGGGCAAATGAATTGTGAAAGTCACTTGCCCGGTAAAAATCCTTAACGTCAACCCCTGTACTATCTTTCTTGCTTCGAAACAAAAGTCAAAATCTGACAAAAATATCTCATATTCACATTGTACCTTTACTTCCTGGACAAAGTCACATGCAGTTATTCTAAAAAGACAACCCTTTAAAGGGACATGTGACATTTTCTTAATTGATTTAATTGAACTTTAATGATTGGAGAAATGTTATTAATATTAATATCCTGAACAAGATCTGCTGCTTCTGACAGCTTGATGTAGGATCCTCACCTTTCTGCCAGTGTTTCCAGGGGGCTCTTTCCCTGTGCCCAGCCCCTCACCATCCAAGCAGTGTCGAAGGCAGCCAGAAATCCCCGAGCACAACCCGTTCCCATAGGCCAGAAAGGCTGAAAGCAAAAAAAAAGGTGTGTCAAAGGATCATTCCTGCATTATTCCTTGAGAAAACCACCCAAAATGATACCCAGTGTCTCTCACCTCCAGAAGGCTATCTCCCACCAGTGCAACCAGTAACTGATGTCCGTGTTTCTCCCTAATCAGGGCGGCGTTCTCTGATGCGTACATGCAGGTGAAGTCGAACATGGCTACATCTGGCTGTCCGTAGTGGTTGATGGCGTAGTCCAGGGAGGGGAGCTGGTAGTTGGTGCCAAAGTCAGCAGCCTCACGTGCGTAGGACAGCAATGCCTCCTGGTTAACGTTGTCAGAACTCAGCAGTCGCTCCGTTTCCATGTAGTCCTGCAGGAAGAAACGTTAAAAATTTTAACATTTTGAAAAAAAGGTTGGAGTCTATTTCCAAACAAAGCCTGTTAAACTGGGATTCTGGCTAGACGGATACATCTGATGTTAGAAGTGTTTTACGTTCCAACGTAAGGCGCAGGAATCGTCCCGTAGCAGTCAGCATTTAAAAGGTTTTATACATTTCAAGCATTTTCAGAAGTAAAATTAAAGATTTATGACAACATGGAGGAAAATCTGGTTGCACAGATGAGCTGGTTGTACGGATTGTCCTTCTGGTGCAGATCGGATGGTGAAAAGAAACAAAATAACGGGACCGTCTCAACAGGCAAGATTTCCTGAAAAGGAACCATCCACAAGCCGTTTCTCAGACTGAGCCACAGAAACAGACCCACTCATTAATAGGAAATAATCTACAGGAGCAAAAAAAGTAAGAGAGCACAGAGAAGGAGCATGGATGCATGGTAACATAACAAAACACTTGTTATAATTTTATCATAGAAATGGATGAATAAGTAGCAACAACAGTCAATAAACCAGCAGCATGTATGATGGATCAGTCAGTCGGTTTTAGCCTAAATTATGGGGGTTTCTAACAAATATAAGAAATAAAAGCCTTTCCAGATTTTTCATAAAAAATCTTTAACTTAAATTCTATAATTACCAGTAAAAATAAGCCGCTCTAAAGTTTAAACCAGTGCCTTGCAGCACTAGTTCAGGTTTTACTTATGCATGAGACAAGCACCAAAAGGGGAGAGTTAAAATAACTAGCAGTATTTCCTAAATTAATTAGCAGGATTGAATTTCTCCAATAATGGTAATAAAGTTTCCTTCTGTCTTTTTTCTTTTATTGCTAATGTGTACTGGAACAGACAGTAAACATATAAATGGATAAAATGCCAAACCAGTTGGACGCTACAACCCTTTCATATTAAAGTTTTCCTCATAATTTTATTTAACAGACTCATTAACATGGTCATCATGCTTCAATCAAGGCTAATCGGTTTAAATAAAAAAAGCTCTGACCAGAAAGGTCAGAAATTGAAAAAAATCTCTTTTGAACACCTAAAAGCTGATTCTTCCTAGTCTCTAAAAGCATCAGTAGATAGTGATATATTTAATAAAAATATGGCTTTAGTGCATAACTTGGAATAACTCTGTGATCGGAGACTAAAACCAGCAGCAAATTTTTCCTATTATTTCAAAAGCCTTTTCCATTCAAACCATTTTCACATCAATAAGCCTTTTTGTGCTGAAGTGTTTTTACAAGTAAATCTGAATAAGTAAAGAAATCAGAGGGTTGGAGGCCGCCTGTATGCGACTGCTGCAGAACAGAAAATATATATTTGTTCCAGCTTAAAACCTTTAAACCTAAAAAAATATTTATTTATTTTTTCTACAAGAAGAACTTTAACTGGGTGCAGCTGATGTTGGTTTTATTATCATGATTAAAACTTAGTGGTGCAGAGACAGTGAGGCTCATAGTGACTGTCCTCATGACAAAATAAACTGCTATAAGTGAGCCTGAGGCCTCTGAAGCGTCTGCTCTGGGTGTGTGTGTGTGTGTGTGTGTGTGTGTGTGTGTGTGTGTGTGTGTGTGTGTGTGTGTGTGTATCATGACCCAGATGACCCAGAAGGATTTCACTCGGCACCAGCAGCCAATGTAAGATGAGAGGGAGAACATTGGAGGCTCAGCCGTTCAGGCCTTCGACACCTGTGTGTGTGTGTGCATGTTTGTGTGTACCTGTCTTGCCCTCACAGTGAGGACCATTTTTCCAATTTCCCAATCAAATTGAGGTCCACCTGTTGCAAAGTGAGGATATTTTGCCGGTCCTCATATGCTATTTTGCTAATGGTGAGGTTTAGGGCTAAGGTATCAACTGGTTAGGGATAGGAATAGGGTGAGGTATGGATTGGTAATGGTTAGGTTAAGGGTTAGTTTTAGGGTAGGGGCATAGAAAGGGTTGAAAATTACTGAATATCAATGGTAGTCAACACATGGTCATCACTACTTTCTACTAAGGCAGAACGAGTATGTGTGTTTGTGTGTGTGTGTGTACCTGTCTAGCCCTCAGAGTGAGGACCATTTTTCCAATTTCACCGTCAAATTGAGCACCAGTTGTTGCAAAGTGAGGACATTTTGCCGGTCCTCACTAGAGACTGACATTTTTTTGGGAATCCCACAGGTCACGGGATTCCCGTGGGATTCCCGTGGGATGGGAGTCAGTATTAGTAACGATCACGTGATTGGGACGGTACAGGGTTAAACATTAACGGGAGCAGACGGGAGCGGGAGCAAACCAATAGTAACTAAAAAAAACTAGGATTGATGCCGAAAAATAAAATAAAATAAAATAGAAAGAAAAAAAAATCCAGTACTTTTTGTGCCATTTTGTAGTTTTTTTCCTTAAAGCCTACACTATAATGCGAGTCAAAAAAACTACACGACCCAAAAACCAACAGTGCTTCCGTCTGAGTTTTTCACCTGCGCTCAAAAACAACAATGGAGGGACCAACAGTTACTACAGTTAGAAACAGGAACTTAACTGACCCTTCACTGAAATTCAGATTCAATGTATTTGCAGAAATCTTATTGAAGACAACAAGAATGGGAGTGTTGCGGGAGCGGGAGTCATTCTGAATGGGAGCGGGATGGGAGTGGGAGTAATTTCACCAGGAGTGGAACGGGACAGGATTTAGATTTCTACTCTGGCCCGGGATCGGGACGGGACACAATTTTTTCTGTGGGAGTGGGACGGGATAGGAGTGAAAATCCACTCCTGTGTCAGTCTCTAGTCCTCACATGCTATTTTGCTAATGGTTAGGTTTTGGGGCTAAGGTCTCAACTGGTTAGGGTTAGGGTGAGGTATGCATTGGTAATGGTTAGGTTAAGGTGTAGTTTTAGGGATACGGCATAGAATGGGTTAAAATGACTGAAAATCAATGGAAGTCAATGGGAGTCAACACATGGTCCTCACTATGATGGCAGAACAAGTGTGTGTGTGTGTGTAGGTGTGTGCGTTTGGACTACACTTGTGGAAAAAGTTCTGGATAATGTTGACAATTAAGAACTTGTGTTTTTAGAAAGAGTTTCATGGTAAATACTCGTGTCTGACAGAAGCCTCCGTGTTTATCTGCGCTACCTTGGTGCAAACTTCCCATAACAATAAATATTTGTATTTCATTTCAGTCCTGGTGCTTACGTCCAATAATTTAATTTTTTCCAGTCCAAAATTACACTGAACTGAAACCCTGCCTGCAGTGTTGGTGTTATTTTGTTTTTTTTTTAGCTGTGTGAGAACTAGAATAAAGGTGAGAGGCGCTATGCTTTAATCAGAGCCCTATTTATCATGATCCGCTGTGAAGGAATATCACTCGCTGCACTGGCTGGCACACAAACACGCCTGGCTCCCAGCATTAAGATGTCACTTTAAAGGTTTTGCTTTTCTAGTCTCACGTTTCCTTTAAAGAAACAACAGAAAATGGAAACATTTGAACCGTTTCTCACGCTAAAAGGTTAAAACTGACTTCCAAGCACTTTATACCAATAATCCTCTGACCTCGAAATACTTCTGTAAGACCTTAGGCAACAATAGGCTGCCTGTTTTCTGGGGTTTTTCCTTGTAGTGGTTTGGTGCTGCCAGTATTGTTGGTATGGCAGCACTTAACAGGAAGATATTTATAGAACACATTCTCTCATAATTCCTGTGAAAATGATGGAAAAGCCACAAAAAAAAACACTTCAGAGGAGCTACAGTAGCTGATGTCCCAAATAAAACCTTCTTGATCCATTTGTCATACTGTTGGTGATAGCCAATGTAATTTGAGCAGCAAAGATGTGTCTGCTGCTTCATTCAGGTCAGTTTCTTTGATAAAGTGCCTCTAGTTAAATGTGTGCAGATGCATCTGATGCTTGTGCTGCACTTGTGTTCAGTGTCTTTGCTGTATTTGATGTGATAAGTGGGTAGAAAGTTGTTTTCATGGAAGAAAGTCCACCTCAAAACATCGTCTGTGCGGTCAGTTCATCAAGATTACGAACCTGCCAATATTATTTCACTATCGGAGCAGCGCAGACTCCCACATACGTACAGGCAAGCAGGGTTTCAAACTCCTCAGCATGAATCGTCGCTATTGGCTGTCCTAAAACGCTCTACATGACATCATCGCCTGGATAGGATAGCTGGGAGGAAGAAACATCGGGGTCTGAAGAGTTTTATAGAGACTTTTACCGAAACAAGTTAAGAACAATACATGTAATTCAGCTATTTAGTTCCACACTCCATACCAAGTGGTGCGATAGATGCACAATTAGTTGCTTGCCATCCAGCAAAAAATAAATAAATCAATTTAAAAAAATAAAACACGAAGAAGAGGAGGAAAGCAGCGGTGCAAAGACACAGACTAAAGGAGCAGGAGATGAGAGAATGAGACTATAGGGTGAAATTGTGTCGGTTAAACATTGTTTTCATTATTAAATGTTTGCAATTTAGGGCGGGATTAGCAGCAGCGTTGCACATTCACATTTGATTTGCAATCTGGATTCAAAGTGGAAAGGTTTAATGTCTGCTGTAGCGAAGGCGACCTGCTCAGCATCACGACAGCGGAAAGTGAGTTTAAGAGAGAAAGAAAGATCCACTTGCTCGGGAGGGCAGAGTTCTGTGCCTTTATGTCACCAAAGTCTCCATGAACTAAAGAATAAATACATTTTCTGCAAAAGAGACGGGATAATTGATCCCTGTTGATGGAACAACAAATGAGGTCATGTATGAGAAGAACCTCCTTCCATCAGTGAGGCCATTGAAGATGGAACATGACTGGATCTTCCAGCAAGAAATGATCCCAAAGCATCACTCAGCCAATGAAGGAGAGGCTCCGTAAAAAACCTTGTAAGATCCTAGAGTAGCCTTGCTAGTCTGCAGAGCTCATCCACATAGAAGAGTTTTAAAAGGGAGTTGAAAGTCTGTTACCCAGCAGCAGCCCAAAACATCTCTGCCCTAGAGGAGATCTGATGGAGGAATGGACCAAAATACCAGCTGCTGCGTGAGGAAACCTGGTGAAGACTTACAGGAAATTGATTTCCTTCTTTGCACACAAGGAATACGCTACAAAGTTTTAAGGTGAACTGTTGTTTTTTAACAAATATTTTACTTCACCAAAATGTACAAAGAAATTCTATAAAAATCCTACAATTTGATTTCCTGGATTTTCTTTTTCTCATTTTGTCGCTCAGAGTTGAATTGAACCAAAAATGAAAATTCCTCATCCATCTTTCTAAGTAGGAGAATTTGCACATTCAATGTCTGAATACTTTTTTTTCCCCAGTGTTAAGATTTTTTAAAAACATGTTTGCTTCAATGTGCATACCTTTTATTTAGTCATTAGCAACGTTTCGATGTGCAAACAGATTAATATCTGATCGGATTGTATCGTTAAAATTGATATATGTAATTAGAATGGAATACTCAGATCAACTCGTCTCATTCAGAATAACTTCATCTTTACATGCAGGTTTATATGCATGCTGATTGGATTGTCAGTCAGCACAAACCAGCCCTCTCAGTCAGATTACAATTTTATCCCAATCCTTCCAAATCCGATCAGAATATTACGACTGGCATGTTTGCACACATTTTAATCTGATCGGCGTTTTATCACAATTACTTATGTCCATGTAATTCTAGGTGGTTACAGAAGTGGCTGATAAAGAAACATGTGTAATAACTCACATTAATGATGACCCCTTTGTCCAGCAGGCTTTGCTTCTTTGCAGTCATCACAAAGTAGTGGGTGTTGTCCTTGTAGTACACAATGTTTTCCAGGTCAATTCCTGAAAATTGGATTATTTTGTTAAGTACAGATCCCTTTAAAGCTATTTATATATAAATCACCTAAATATTGAATATTTTTTGCATAATTATGTATTCACCCGTCTCCTCTTTAAGTTCAAGGAAGAACTTCTGGTTGAAGATGAAGGCGACGCCACTGATTTCCTCCACTTTAGCCTCTGCTGTGGTGTTTCTATTAACAAAGTTGGCTGTTATAGCAATGGCCAACTTCCCTCTGAACTCTTTGCGACTGAAACCTGCCGTAAAAGAATGAGGAATTAGAGGGCGAAGGATCTGAACACACCTACTGGGGGGAAATAACTTGCACTTTCTAATTAACACATGCATAACTTTGCAGAGCACTGATGAGGCAAATATATGAACAACCAGCAGTTATCAGAAACAACAAGGTTAAAAATATACACTCACCCTACTAAATCATTGCCATCTCAAATAATTTCAAAGCCAAAGTGTATAAAACACATCAGCTATTAAGCTATTAAAAAATAAAATAAAAGTTGTTAGGAAAACCAGACAGGTTCCTGTCTGACTGCATTATGTCACTTTTGTTGTGTCATAAGCCATGATATCAATTTTTAACATTGGTGGAGCAAAATATTTTGCTCTGCTAAGACACAAGACTGTGAGACTGCGACCGTCTCTCTTGTGGCCCGCTTGTTCCCAAGGAGACTACGAGGCAAGAACACCTAAACAGGAAATATCCCTCTAAAACTATTAAAAGCTGAGTGGGCCTGGCTAATACCAGAACCATATCGCTATGAAACAGCCCGTCCATAACAATGTCTATGAGTCTGTAGGAGTAACAGAGCTCAAAGAAATGCATCCAACAGAAGCTCAAACAGTTTGTGTGAGGGACCATATGTTTTCACATAAAGGTTGGTTTTTTTATAGAAGGAAAGAGAGTTATGCCATTTTGTGTAGGGCTGGGCGATAGGACGATACATATCGTACGGACGATAGAAAAGTGTCTATATTGCTAATTCTATTCTTTCATTTCTAACACCATTTTATCTGGTATTCAAGCAAATATTGCCCAAGGTAGACTACGACAAATGTATGATTGTAGTCTAGTGCCGTCACGTAATCTACACACAGCTTATATAGGTGATATATATATATAGGTGATTTTTTTTTTTTATCTACAAAGAAGCAGCGTCTTGTGGTTTTGCAACATGATGCTGCTTTACCGCTTTTGACTCACATGACGGTTTGCAAAATGCTTTATGTTACTTAACTCATGAGAGCTCAGCTTTGTTTGTTGCAACCACTTAAACCTGTGGTTGCAACAAACAGAAACGTCTATGCAGACAGCCCAAGATGAGGTACTTTTACCACAAAGAGGTAAATTTAAGAAGTCCGACACGGAGCAGCCAACAGTCATTTGCAAAGTATATTATCACCTAAAGCAGTGGTCTTCAACCACCAGGCCGCGGACCAGTACCGGTCCGTTGGCAGAGATTTCAAAAGTACTCACTTTCCGTACTTGAGTAAAAGTACAGATACTTGTGTTAAAAAATACTCTGGTAAAAGTGGAAGTACTGATTAAACTTCTTTACTCAAGTAAAAGTAACAAAGTACAGGCTTGTAAATTTACTTAAAGTATAAAAGTAAAAGTAGAAACCACTTTTTTCATGCCGTTGCCTACATTTTAAATGGATGTCTGCCAATAGGACTAGATCTCCGTTGTGTTCATTTTCTATCATCTCGTCGTCCATGCTACTATGCTAACGCCACCGCCACCAAGCTGCAATGATTTGCCGCCAATGAATACCGCCGAATCTGTCGATTCATCTTGTAGTGGTGCGTCAAATGCAACGTAGATTCCCATCCAATTAGATTGGATTTGGTATTGATGATGTGAAAAATAATAACGGTAACTCCACTGAAATGATTCAAAACTAAAGTAACGAGCCAATTTTTTAAAATGTAAAGAGTAGAAAGTACAGATATTTGTGTAAAAATGTAAGGAGTAGAAGTAAAAAGTCGCCATGAAAATAAGTAGTAAAGTAAAGTAAAAATATCAGAAAAATCTACTTGAGTACAGTAACGAAGTATTTGTACTTTGTTACTTCCCATCTCTGTCCGTCGGTCATTTTGTACCGGGCCGCACAGAAAAAATATGTGTATATATAATAGGGCTGCAACTAACGATTATTTTGAAAATCGATGAATCGGCCGATTATTTTTTCGATTAATCGATGAATCGGACACAAAATATTTTTTTTTATATTAACCTCTTTATTTCAAAATAAACATTTTAGACAGAACAAACAAGCACACAAGTACAGGTTTCTCATTAACTGTACTGGTGCAATATGAAAAATAAATGTTTGTTTTAAAACTACGCAAACCTACATGAGAAATGTAGCTGTACATCCACAAAATATAGGCTACTTTGTTTTATAAAGTGCAAAAAAAGACATTTTTGTTTTTAAAGCCCCTAAGGGGTTCAAACAATAGGCCCCCCCATTTCAACAAATGAGTTTTTTTTAGACTAGAAGAGTTCTGCCTTTTAAGACAGGAAAGTATAGCAGCAGTCAAAGTTGCTACTTGAGAAAATACTGAACCATAGAGATAAAAATAGCCCTGTGATTCAAATTATAAATTGTATTTGGAATAAAAATGAGAGAACTAGGGGTGCTAAAAAACACATCCTCCAAAGACAGATATTTACATTGGAATGTGGCAGATAATTAATTGACATATTACTGATCTTGCTGGATTTTATTCTGCTTTACTTCCATAAATTGCAGGATCTTCTTTACTTTATCTTTGCCAGAAGATTTAAACTTTAAAAGCCTTGCCCTCATAATTTGCAAATTAATTTATTTATAAAGAAAATATAAACGCTGCTTAAGCTAATTCAAATGAAATTAAAAGTAAAATAAGTAGCCAACCTTATCACTGTCTGTAACCTACTAACAAGCTAAGGAAAGCATCAGATGAGCTACCTGAGAAACTAACTTACGTTTCCCCACTTTAAAATGAAACAAACATGGTTACTCATCCTGCTAATCAGCTCTCTTCACTGCCATTGAAGGCTCCAACGTGTTTTCTTTTCAGGTGCTGCGTCATAACAGTGGTGCTTCCGTGCCATGTTCATTTGTTTTTTACAAAAGTTGCATGTTACGAGTTTTTTCACTTTACAAAGCGCAGGCTATTTTAATTATTGTGATCAATTTGCGCCGTCAATCCCGGGGCATGCGCGCTTCATTTGCAGTCTGGACGCTGAGGGTAAACTCCTCCCTAAAATCCTGCGGCTCTGACTGCACGCTGAGAGGGATTCCTGTGGGAGAGGGAGAAAGGCGTTGGGATGGGGGAGGCGCCCCACGGCAGCAGCTGCCGCTTGAGGACAAGAGTAGGAACGATACATGCTTTCACGTAAGAGTCTCCAAAAGCCGCCAGTGACACCGTAAAAAGTCGCCAGATTTGTCGCTAGTCGCCTTTTAAAAAAATAGTCGCCGGAGGGGTCTGAAAAGTCGCTGAGTTGGCAACACTGCAACTGCGGCGCTGACTCGCTCCGCCATATTTTTTTTTCTTCCCCGGTATGACGGCGGCGGCGGATGACGCATTAATCGCGCGACACAACTAATCGATGATTAAATTCGTTGCCAGCGCTTTTAAAAGTCGATTTTTATCGATTTTATCGATTCGTTGTGGCAGCCCTAATATATAATTTATCGACGATTAGAGTCTGAGTGTTTTATTTTGAAAAATATAAAAAATTGGGGTATTCCCTCCCAATTACATCAGTCGTTGCATCTGTGCCTCTTGACACAGGTTAATTCAGGTCAACACGCATCCTATCTATAACACCCTATCTTTGTGAAGCGGGATTTTCTGCGGTTACAGCGACCAAAACAAAGCTACGGAGCAGACTGGACATCAGGAGCACACTTCGTCTGTCATTTTCTCCAAATACGCCTAGATGGGATCGGCTTGTTTCGGAGAAACAAGCTCAGGGCTCCCACTATTTCAACATAATGGTGAGTTTTATTTTATGCTGTTTGTACATTTTATTTGATCATATTTACTCCCCCCACACTTTAAAGGCCGATCCGTGAAAATATTGTCTGACATATAACCGGCCCGTCGCGCAAAAAAGGTTGGGGACCGCTGACCTAAAGAATAACCATGAAAAATGTGCGAGGTAAAGCAAGTTTAGAAAGAGCGGGAGAAGGTTGCAAAAAAAAAAGTGGAAGATAACAGAGTAATTCGTTTTAAATGTGGAGGCTACTGTAGCGCTACCTCCGCCTCATCTGTGGTCATCTGATGCATATATATTGCTGCTCTACTATTTATTTTTCTCATTTGTGACAGTTCTGTAAATGTCACTGCAAAATAAAGATGAAAAAAGTAAGCAATTATATGGGTTTGTCAAATTTATCAGAGATGAACCAAAAACTTACTCAACTGCGGCATATATCTGTTGTTATCATTATTGTGATATAAAATAGTCCATATTGTGATATATGATTTTTTTCCATATCGTCCAGGACTATAAGCCGTGTAAATGAGACATTGTTGAAGTTTGCCTGCTGTTCCAATAAAAAGTAATTTTCTGTTCTTAAAGGATTAGTACACCCAAAACATGATTAGCCTTCATTTTCTACTCACCCCCATGCTGAACAACACTCTGGAGTACTTTTTTGATATCTCAAATGCATCTGGAGATCTGGGAGGCTTCTTGCTGTCTGCTGACATTCAAATAATGGAGGTCTATGGCGCCCGAGGCAGAAAGGTCCATAAAAGTCCACAAAAAACGTGTCAATATTCCTCCATACTGCTCGTCCAATGTATTCCAAGTGTCCTGAGTGGGTAGCGTCCATAATTTACTTGAAACGAAGTCATTTAGAATGTTTTTAGAGCATAAACAGTAGTGTATAGGATTTCCTGAAAGCGCGTTCAGGACGCTACGGAAGCCGGCAGACCAAACCAGATGAAAGTGCGCATTCAGCGTCTGCTCTGCCGATAATGCAAGCGTAGAAGAAGAAATGTGATGTTTACCTGTGCAAAGAAAGAAACAACGAAAGAAAAATGTCTGAGGACTTCAGTGTTGAGGAAGAGCATGAGTTCTTTGCCGAGCTGAATGCGCACTTTCATCTGGTTTGGTCTGCCGCGGTTTCCGTAGACTCGTGAACTCGCTTTTAGGAAATCCTATACACTACTGTTTATTCTCTAAAAACATTCTAAATGACTTCGTTTCGAGTAAATTCTGGACGCTACCCACTCAGGAAACTTGGAATACATTGGACGAGCAGTATGGAGGAATATTGAAACGTTTTTTGTGGACTTTTATGGACCTTTCTGCCTCGGGCGCCACAGACCTCCATTATTTGAATGTCAGCAGACAGCAAGAAGCCTCCCAGATCTCCAGATGCATTTGAGATATCAAAAAAGTACTCCAGAGTGTTGTTCAGCATGGGGGTGAGTAGAAAATGAAGGCTAATCATGTTTTGGGTGTACTATTCCTTTAATTACAATTTTTAATTTCACTGTTTAAAGTTGTCCAACATGATTGTTTACTGCAAGAAAAGCTGCATATTATTGAGCTTTTAGGTTTTTGGGTAAATAATCTTGATGAGCCAGAGCAAATCTCAGACCTCATCCAGTTTGAACAACGATATGAAAGCATTAGAGCTCAAAATATGATTCAGTCCTTCTGATCCAACATGGGTGTTTGACCTCAGAAATGAATAACTTGAAAAATGGTAAATTATTCTCATGAATGGTCCTACTTCTTAAGCAACGCATTTCTAGAAGAAGTTTTATGACTTTCTAAGCTTGTATAACAGCAAAGGGGAGCCAAATATCATTTCCCTTAAGTTCAGACATGTGTGAAGGGAGATTAATGAGTCCTTTAGCCTGAAGGATAAAACCCATTTTTTATTCATGGACAGAGAGGTTAAAGATAAGCCATAAAAAACGCAGTCACTTGAAACTATGTGAGCAGGAAATCCTTCACTGAAACACTTTCCTCAATTTGGGTCAATGACAAAACTCTCTGTGCTTCATGCTGGACCAGCTGTCAACACAGAGACTACATGCATCCCAACAATACGTCCACGGGTCCAAGTTGAGGTCATTCCTTACCATCTAAAGTGCTTCTGCGGCCGTCTGCTCCAATCACCACATCAAAGTCGAACTCGGAGACCGGATGATTGGATGGCCGGAGTTCTGCTCGCCACCCAGGACCTAAAGAAACAGATCAAACATGGATGTTTCATTAAAATTAGATTAACTGGACATCAATAAGAAAAAAATGTATATGTGAATTATTTGGGAAAACAGAGGAGTCTATCAATAGCTTTTTTTTCTCCCCACTGTGCGGGAACATATGTGTTCATTTCAACATACGTGACATGATGGAAGCATTCCTTTCATAGCAGAGATACGCAAGCACGTGTCATAGTGTCCCTGCTAGTCATGACCCTTTCAAACAGGTTTAACATTGTTTACACACACTTGCATCCCCCCCCACCCCCCCCCACACACACACACACACATCAACATTTAGAACGTAGGTGGAGACAAAACTAATGTCCTAAACTTAATAAGGAGGTTTGAAGCTACTTACAATTATTACTATAAACGTTTGAGTGAAAATGTGGATAATTCCTGCTTATTTCTGTTTATTTGTATAATGGGAGCATAGCTGCTTCTAGACAGGGGCCAGCGGGGCCAGTGCCCCTGCAGAACTGGTCCTGATCCCTTTTATGGTCCTTGCACTGAAGACATAATTGTCAAGAATTTTAGTTGCTCATCAGAGAATTGTTGGGTAAAAACCTTAGGAAATATGGATATTACTGTTAATTACATACACACCCAATGCTTACCACAAGCATGAATTCCTAACAGAATTAACCAACAAATCCCTAACAGCATAAACACATTAACTACACTAATCTAATTCCTATACACATTAGCACAGCTTTACTAAAATTACTGCACTTTTCTGCACTAATTCGTTTAAAGTGGCCCACTTTTCCATTCACCATAATACTGCACTATATCCAAAAAGAAATCTATACATATTTTACACAAAACCCAGAGCTTATTATGAACTAAACTAGTTTTATATGATGCTATGCGTTAGTACGGAGATTGGAACTGACTGGCCACTTGGACAAACGTAACTTTTTTAATTTATTTACAAGCTTACATTAAGAAGGATTAAAATATTAGGGTGTTGTTCTATTAGCTTTAGCTGTATTGAGATGGGATCACAGTTTTCCTCTCCTCAGTCAGGGTCTCCAGGGCCGTTAGTGGCTTTGTAATCTTTATGCCGTCATCACAGTTTCATCGGAGCGTAAGCTGGAAGCAAAACAAACTGACAACTGGAGGCAGCCGATACAAAGTAGTATTGTTGCAACGATACCGATAACAGTATTGAAATACCAACAGCATCGGTAAGTACCAACAAATAGGGCATCGATACCATTTTGAGAGCCAAAAATTTATTCAACTATTGTCACTCATTCCAGGTAGGCAATAAAAAGTTCTACTGGATTCTCTTTGTATTAGTCTTTTTCCTGCTTCACAAAGGTAGGCAGCAGCTTGACAAAGCCATGGTGGCAATTATTTTACATCCAAGTAGTATGCAGTTCTTCATATATACACACACCGGCCAATATTGCACATCCAGGTATTGGGGCAAAAAAATGGCATTGGTATAAACACTACAAAGTAGTACAAATATGGACAATTTGATATTTTATCCCATATCTGATGCCAATGCCAGGCAAAGAATATAAAGACAGCAGCTGAGGTTGAAAGGAAACGAGGGGACTAGCCCACACTTTATTTTCATGGCCTATGCAGAGATGGGTAGAACTTAGATCTTTTGGAGTGCTGGGGCCGCTCCTAAAGACCTTCTTTGACATGGTTGTGGCATCAGCTATTTTATATGAAGCTGTCTGTTGGAGCAGTGGCTTATCTGTAGCTGAGAGAAAGCGGCTGGATAAGCTGATCAGGAAGATCTCAGATCATCTGAGAGCTCCACAACCACTGCCTGATTTTAAAAGAGGCTTGAAGACTTTTTTATTTAAGCAAGCCTATTCTGCCTCCACATGTTTTTGATGTTGTTGATTTTTATCTTTGATTTTATTTGCACTGTGTAACACTTTGAGATTTTTCTTAATGAAAAGTGCGGTCCAAATTGGATTTATTATTATTATTATTATTATTAAGGCCCGCTCTGTGATTGGAAGCCGTCTGGACTCAGTGCAAGAGGTTGGAAACAAAAGGATCCAAACTAAATTAACATCTCTGTTGGATAATGTCTCCCAGCCCATGCATGAAGCAGTTGCAGAACTGGACAGCTCCTTCAGTGACAGACTGCTGCACCCTTATGGCACCAGGGAGCGTTATCACAGATCCTCCCTACCAGCCTCTATAACACTCTATAACTACCATTGTTCCCAACAACCTCAATAAGTTGTTACATTCAATTACATTCAATCTTTGCACAGTTTCTATCTTAGTCAGTTAAATAACATGCTGCTGTCATGTGTTGCTGTTATAAGAAGAATTAGTTTCGTCCTGGATTACCGTACAAATCTTTGTTTATTCTGTACAACACACTCATTGTACCACATCTAACATATTGTGTGGAAGTTTGGGGGAATACATACAAAACAAATTTACAGCCATTATACGTTTTACAAAAGAAATCAATCCGAATACTACATAAAGTGGGATACTGGGAACACACAAACCAGTTATTTTTAAAATCAAATATACTGAAATTCTGGGACCTGGTAATATTTAGAACCTCACAATTCATGTTTAAGGTTCGAAATCAAAAACTTCCACACAATATACAGGAAATGTTTGGTGACAGAGAGGGGGGGTATGATCTAAGAGGTGAAGGATACTTTAAAAAACAACACTTTAAAACAACCAGAAAGAGTTTTTGTTTATCTGTGTGTGGAGTAAATGTCTGGAATGGATTGAATGACGAGTAAAAAAAAATTCAAAATGCAAACCAATTTAATAAACTGATTAAAACCGAGCTCATTTCAAAATACGCTATATAAGATGACTGTTTAATAGTCTATAATGTAATTGATGACATAAATAGAACTTAAATAAATAGAACAAGTGTATTTTTGGTTTTTTGATGTTTTGACATTTAATTGAGGATAAATTGACAAGTAGGAAAGGGGCGGGACATTATAAGATGTATCTTCTACCTGCTCCTTTTCCAACAGAAAATATTTACATGTCACATGGGCAAAATAATTTGTTTTATATTTTCTTTCTTAAGTTTGTTTCATTCAAATTTTTTTTCTTTCTTGATTCTTTTTACTGTCTGTTCGAAATAAATAAAATAAATAAATAAATAAATTTTGCACATCTCTGATGTTGCTGCTTTTGTCCACTAAATATCCATTACTGTAAAAATGTCCATAGCTGTACATTGGTTATTTATTCTCCAGGTGAACAGTTTTATATTGTTTATCTTTTAACTCTTCACTATTATTTTGTTCTTATACATTTTTCTAAGGTTCACATTTGTGTGACCATTTTTTCTATAATCTTTTTGCTGCTGTAAACACCAGAATCTCCCCATTGTGGGCCAATAAACTGATTTATTTTATTCTATTCTATCTTTGGATCTTTGTTTTTTAATCAGCTAGCCGTAGCTGTCAGGCAGCTAAACCAGAGCTAATACGCTCAGATCGTCTCTCCACTGATTGCCTGTGTACGGGTCGACCAATCGGGTTCCCTGCAGTAAAATTACATATTTTTAATAACTGTCCCATATACTGTATTTAAGTAATTATTTTAATGTTTTCTTCTATTATTCTGTGCCCTATGTAAAATAAAACAAATAAAAAAAACGACCCTGCCCTCTGGTAAAACTGGTCTGGAACCAACACAGAGTGGGCAGATCCAACTTCTCTGACTCACCATCTTCATTTTGCTGCTCTGGGGGCTCCAGCAGTTGAACAAACTCCACGTTGACATGAATCTCCACTCCCAGGATCAGGCTGACTTTCAGCAGCATCAGCTGCAGCTGGCGAATACCTGGCGGGATAGAAACAGCTCTGAGAGAAGGCCTCGTTTAGCTCCGTAACAATCACCAGCCTCAATGAGTTTCATTTATAGTGATTGGCTCACACAAAGAAGTGCAAAATTCTTACGTGGAATAAAACATAGTTTACATTTTATGAATACAATCTGCAAAATGTGAAGAGTATTTTTATTTAGCCATCTTAAAACTAATAGTTACCATTAAACCTAGTCCTAAAAAGAGCCTTCAGAAGTTTGGTGTTGTGTCATTAATTCAGCTGTTCTGTGAGGGTCTCACAGAGAACATTAAAGAAAAAACATCAAGTCAAAAACAAACACAGCAGACAGGAGAAAGAGTTAATCAGAAGCAGGCTCAGATTATATCTGAATGCAAATTTGAGCAGCCGTCATTAAAGTAGCAACTCTGAAGGAGTTAACTCAGAGGAACAGCTTAGGTGGAAGAGTCTGTTGATGAACAGCTGTTTGATGTGCAGGAAACACACATCTGACATTCATCTAACAGCGCAAGAAGGAATCCATTAATAAAAGAAGCTTTTATTTTAGGTCGATGTTCTGAGGAGGATCCTGCACAAAGCTTTCAGCCTGCATGCAGGTGCTGTGTGGTGGAAAATTGACACTGTACAATTCTCTTGGGGAAACACTGCGGTGGCAGCATCATGCTGTGGGGATACCTTTATTCAACAGAGACAGGAAAGCCTGTAAACCAAGGGTCCAGGCCAAGGTCCCCCAAACTGATGGCGAGATGGAGCAGGGACCCCCTAATTATATATATAGTATGAAATAGTGTTCTATAAAACTGGTCCTATAGTCACTCTATTAAAGATGGAGTAATGTAAAGTAATTTCTCTCTGGGATTATTAAAGTATTTCTGATTCCTGGTTGATGGGACAGGTGTTGTGAATGAAACGGTGTCCAGCTTGAAAGAGCTCCTGTGTGTCTCTGAATGTGAGCATTGAGGACTGACAGACATCTTCTGCCTCCATTTATCTGTTTACTACAGCGTGTTAAATTCATGTTAATATGGATTTAAAGACATTTCAATTAGTGGGAAAAAATTGCAGGGATGAATATAAAAAAAAAAAAAAAAAAAATTTTATCAACCAAAACTTCTGTGACCCCCATGCAGTACCGCTGTGGACCCCTAGGGGCATTTGTAGGATGGGTGGAGCTGAAAGCAGTGTTGTCCTCCTTTAGGACGGGAGCTCAAGCCTGCTGATTTAAACCATTTCATCATAGCTGTGGCTCCTTCAAAAATAACTATTGTAGCTTAAAATCTGTTATAAAATATCTGACCTAGAAGGTAAGATAAAAGACAAAACAAACACCTAAGAGAACCGAGAGGGAAACTTTTGATTAAATGTGTCTGGAAGCACATCTCCTTTGTGTTGTGAAACTAATACCAAGTAGAGCAGACTTTAGCAGCAAAGGTGAGCGGAACAAATCAAAGCATAGGAAAAAAAATCAATTACTATATTGTTGATTACATATATCTCATGTGGAAATCTGTATTCATGGCCCTAAAGTACAAAAACGGCAGAGAGAACGCTCACTGATATGGTCGATGGCACCGGCGCAGAACTTCCCATAGAACTTCTTGGCCCCGAGCGCCCTGAGGTCGTGGATGGTGTAGGGCCAGAGGTGGAGCACGTTGTTTCTGGAGAAGGTGTCCCTCTTCTCGATCACCACCACTTTGCAGCCCAGCAGAGCCAACTCGATGGCCGTCCGCAGACCGCAGGGCCCGCTGCCGATGATCAGACACTGGAAGGGATCGAAGACGTGAAATCAGAGGGAATCAGCCTTTGCTGCAGTTTTAACCTTACATTTAAAATTTAAACCTTTGAATATCAACTGAAAAAGTGCACCAGAGCTGTACCTCACCAGTGTTCATAGTCATGCTTAGAAAATAAATACATTTCCATGGATGTGCCAAAACTTTTTTCAGCTGAATTAAAACAATAATAAAATAATATTTTTTGGACCAAAATATTTAAAAGTTGGCACCCAGCTTCAGTCAGTCCAGCTAGAAAGCAGCAAATCTGGGTGTAGTGATGGACTCAGACCTGAACCTTCAGAGGCTCATAAATACAGGAACTAAGTCGACCTTCTATCACCTGAAGAACATCTCCAGGATTAAAGGATTGATGCTGAAAATCTTATTTCTGCTTTGTTCCTCTTTAATAGAACAGCTCTGCCTACAAAGTGCATCAGACAGGATGTAACTTTAAAAAGATTAGCAGTTATTTTAACTTTTGATCATGGTTATAGCAGTTTCACCCATGAAATTCACTTAATTTTATTTCATTACTTCATACAGGCTTGTTTATGCAAATTACACAACAAACTAAAACTGCCTTAAAATTCAATGACCCTCCAGAACTTAAAGGTTCCATATTATTCTACATTTGAAAATAAAATATTATGCACAACTATGTCCCCAGAGCATATTTTTGTCATTTCTCTCAGGTTGAGCAGACAGTATGTCTGCTCCTCCTTATTCAGTCCTCCTCTGGAAAACCTGTTTTAGCTTCCTGCACACTGTCCTCCCGAAGGCTGCGCCCCCCCCCCCCCCCCCCCCCCCCCCAAACACGCTACCATGACAACCAGTCAGAGGAGGAATAACACATACAATGAAGGCTGTAGCTTGACCAATGGGCTGCTACTGACCACTCTGGATACCTTTTTTCATTCTTATGACATCATAAGGGAATGATTTTCAAACAGAGTATTTTCAACACGCATTACCCAAAAGGTGGAGAAAGGCAATGAGCATAAAACCCATATACAGGCTGCAGGACACATTCGACTGTTACAAAATGCTTATAATGTGAATTCTGCATAACCTGGACCTCTTTTTTAAAAATATGTATATTAAAATGGTAAAATATTCAAAGGAACTGGAGAAAACTGTTTTATTGTTTTAATTCCTATTTTGTGGTGTTTTCTGCATATATTTGAGTTCTTAGGTATTTCTTTTTTTGCGATCAATGTGAGGATAAACCTCTGGATTTGCATTTTTTCTGGAAATCAAGAAATCTAGAAAGTAAACCTGCAGGAACTTTGTCTGTAAAGAACAAATCTAAACTCATGTACGTTTTCTCACAAAATCCCAATTGCAAAACAGATTGACAGAAAATGTTATCTCTTTCTCTAGTATCTCTTTCTATAATCTCTTTATATCTTCATTGGCTTCCTGTTAAATCCAGAATAGAATTTAAAATCCTCCTTCTCACATATAAAGCCTTAAATGGCCAAGCTCCATCTGATATCAGAGATCTGATTGTTCCTTATGTTCCTAACAGAGCACTTCGCTCTCAATCTGCAGGTTTACTAGTGGTTCCTAGAATTTCTAAAAGTAGAATGGGAGGCAGATCTTCTAGTTCTCAGGCTCCTCTCCTGTGGAACCAACTACCAGTTTTAGTCCGTGAGGCAGACACCCTGTCTACTTTTAAGGCTAGGCTTAAAACTTTCCTTTTTGATAAAGCTTCTAGTTAGAGTGGCTCAGGTTATCCTGAGCTATCTCTATAGTTCTGCTGCTATAGGCTTAGACTGCTGGAGGACATAGGGACCCCTTTTTCATTATTCTATCTCTATTCTCCCACTCTTCAGAATCTGTTAGTTCAATCTCTAACTTTCTGCTCTCTGCTTTTTCCTCATAGTAGTTCGCCTCATCTGTTCCTGTTTGACTGTGACACCATCCTGGAGTTTTTACAGTGTAGTCCTGTTTCTCTGACTGTGACTGGCTGGATGTGCTCTCTTCATCCTCTGGCATGGAAGCTGGCTCGGAGCTCGTCTGCCTGGCTGTGTGTTTCCGGGACAGGCAGCCTTTTACAGTTTTTTTGTATCTCTGAAACTCCTTCTATCTCCTTGAACCCCAGTGGGCCTCAGCAGATGGCCGCTCACACTGAGCCTCGTTCTGCTGGAGGTTTCCTCCTTTTAAAAGGGAGTTTTTCCTCTCCACTGTCACTACATGGATGCTTAGTGTGAGGGATAGCATTCAAGTCAATTAGTTGATGCAATTAACTGTTTTTTTCTTAGATAAAAAACTTTGAGTCAATCTGACTGTATGATCTGGTTGAATTATCTCTGTAAAGTGCCTTCAGATGACATGTGTTGTGAATTGGCGCTATATTAATAAACTGAATTGAATTATTATTTCACACAGCAGAGTTAGTACCGGTACACCTTTTCCTTAGTGCACAATGATTTAACCTTTTTCTAGTTAACAGTTTTAACTGTTAACTGTTTTTTTTCCCAAACAGCAATAGAGACATAACGAGTGTCACACTGTGTTTAATAAAGTGTAACAAAAAGACGCATTATGTTGAGAAAAAAAGGCTTATTTTATGATTTCCAGTGAACAAAGAACATCTAATTTTCAGTCCTAAGAAAGTTTTTTTTTTTTTAGATTGCAAAGTTTCCGTTTTTTGTGAGGCATTATTGATGCACATGAAGCCTGCAGCACTTTAAACACCCAAATATGGAGACAACCATGTCGCAGGAAATAAAGAAAAAAAGCGGTTCCTTCGTTTGGGTTTAGGATTTTGTTACAGAGAACATCCGCCTTGCTGCGAGTCCACCATCTTCCTCCAGATAGCCATATCTCCATAAAAAATGTCTGGAATAATAGCTGAGCTGTTATTTTTGGCTGGCCCTCTCAGCCCAACCCTTTGCCTTAATCTGCGCTCTGCAAGATTCTGGGCTATCCCCCCCCCCCCTCCTGTCGCCTCTTATCTTTTCCTTGAGATATGAAGTTTTTCCAACACAGCGCAGTAAGTGCTCACTAAAACGTACATACATGGTCAGACAAGAATGCAGGACATGATTTACCCAGAGATTTTGTTCTTTTAGCCTTATTACAAGTTATTTATCAGAGTTAAATTTACTATCTTTCATTGCTTGTTTTCTACCATAAACTTTTTTGTTGTTGTTGCAGTTCATGTTGCTTGCAGCCAGTCTACCTGCATACACTGAGCCTGCAGAACCTGATGCCAAGCTGTTGATGCTGTTCATTCTTTGCGTCAGGTGTGTTTGATCAGGGAAACATCTAAAACATGCAGGAAGCTGTGACCCAAGGGTAAAAATATCCAGAAACTGCTGAAACAAACTGGCTTTTTTTTAAACTTCTCTACTTATGAGTCATATGAATATAGAAATCCAGATCAATGATGGTCTGAATTAATCAAGGGTTAAAAAAGCTTGAAGCTGGTGCTATCTGCCAGAGCTTCATATGCTTTGCTTTGGTTGTGGTACCCATTGGAAGGCATATTTTGACTCTTTGTTTTTGTCGGTTATAGTTGCTTTTAAACAGGTGGTTGTGGTTTCTCTAATTCTTTTATGATTCTAGTTGCTCTGGTTCTGGTGGTTCTGGTTGCTCTAGTTTATCTGGTTGTTACTAGTTCTAGTTTTTTTGGGTCTTAATAGTTCTAGTTTATCTGGTTCTAACTGGCTCTGGTTGCTCGTGGCTCTGGTTGCTCTGGTTCTTACTAGTTCTAGTTTATCTGGTTCTTACTAGTTCCGGTTGCTCTGATTCTGGCTCTGGTTGCTCTGGTTCTTACTAGTTCTAGTTTATCTGGTTTTCTACTAGTTCTAGCTTATCTGGTTGTTACTAGTTCCGGTTGCTCTGGTTCTTACTAGTTCTAGTTTATCTGGTTCTTACTAGTTCTAGTTTATCTGGTTCTTACTAGTTCCGGTTGCTCTGGTTCTTACTAGTTCTAGTTTATCTGGTTCTTACTGGGTCTAGTTGCTCTGGTTCTTACTAGTTCTAGTTTATCTGGTTCTTACTGGGTCTAGTTGCTCTGGTTCTTACTAGTTCTAGTTTATCTGGTTCTTACTGGGTCTAGTTGCTCTGGTTCTTACTAGTTCTAGTTTATCTGGTTCTTACTAGTTCTAGTTTATCTGGTTCTTACTAGTTCTAGTTTATCTGGTTCTTACTAGTTCCGGTTGCTCTGGTTCTAACTAGTTTTGGTTAGAAAATGTTATTACCTCGCTCTATAAGGTCACTGAAACCTTTAAAAATCCTCCACTGCAGAACATACTCTTACTGAACTATTTTACCCCAAATCAAACTTTAAGATAAAAGAAGAGTTTCTGATCATTCCTCAGGTAGACGGTCTTACCCTTGTTCCTGTGCAGGCTTTATTCTGATTGTAAACTTTCTGCTCTGCCCGTTTGTCCAATTTTGTCCACAAGGCTTTGACTTTCCAGGAGCTGACGGCCGCCTTAAGGGAACTGTAGAAGTTGCAGTGGTCCAAAGGATCCAGCTGGAGCTGCCTGCAGAGGATGCTGAAGGCCTGCAGGGTTCCTTTACATGTCGAGGCCTGGACGAAGTTCTCAAAGAGCTGACTGGCCTGAGCCGTTCGCTCATCCTCCGTCTCACCCATCTCCTGCGACTGTAAACGAGTCCACACTCCTTGAAAGCTTTGCGTTCTCCGTCTCCTGATAGATCCACCCTTTCAGCACTGAAGTTCTAGCTTTTCCACACCTCCATGTTGAAATGTCTCTACAAGAAGAAAAATTAAAACAAAGAATTTAGGGAGAATACAAAGAAAGTGACATTGGAACAAATGGGGTTTAATGGAAACTATGGAAATATGAGAAATACCTTCTGCTAATTAGTAAACCTTGTTTTACATGTAACTCCACACTGTTTTTAAAATTCAAAAGCTTCCAATACAAATGACCAACCCAAAAGATATAGGCTTGATGTTTGCACTTTGCAAAACAAAGATCAGTTGTAGATACCCTAAAACTGACCTGACCCTAAGAAATAGCCTCTATGTTTTAGACTGTTAAGCAGACAACTGGACCATCAGACCAAGAAGCCATTGAGATCCTTGTAAAGACGAGGACAAATCCACCCCTCTAGATCAAATCCTACATCCGAGAACCATAATATGTCTGAACAAGTAAGGATCAGATCTGCTTTGCCGCCTAACAACAACTTTTAGCTAAAGAGCCTTTCACACCTTAACAATTCAGACCGGTGCATGCCTGATGTACGGAAAACCTCGAACGCTGGCATACATTGGATAAGATGTGGAAACTTTTTGTACAAGTTATGAGTACGCTGAAGTACACAGAAACACGCTGGCACACGTCCATATACTGCAAGTATGTCGATAATTTTTAACATGCTCAAAATTTCCCAAAGTATGCCAGTGTATGCTCATACATGGGCCATACGTGAGAGGTAAGTTATTTGATTGTTGACGTTAAGTGTAAGTTTCTCATAAGTTGAGATGTCCAGCTTATCCACAACCTATGAGTAACTTGTGCATAACTTATGCGTAACTTATCAAGGACTTAAGTCCAACGCACGTCAATGTATCTGACGTGTTCCAGACGACCGCTCAACGTGTTTCTAACTTCCAGCTACTGTATAATGGCGTATTGGCAGCGTTTTGGTATAAAAGGGGTTCACAGGAGGAAACCATCAGTTCTGCTCCAGACTTCATCCCCATCATAGGGTGAGTGTGACGTGTTCATGCCAACGACATACAAACTTCCTAGCAGATATATTAACTTCTACTAGCATACCCACCAGCTGCAACCCTCTCTTCCCTTCTGTGTGATGTACTATCGCCACCTAATAATTTCTTAGTCCTGTTAGATCTAATGTGACCAAAAATTGGTGCCTCTGTGATTTGAAAACTGGTTTGTAAAATAGCTATCATATAAATGAAGTTACTTGGCCAGTCCTATTATGTAAAAATACATCTAAATAAACTTCTCTGTTGAACCTATGGCAGCTTGGCATTTACTTGTTTACATTATGATAAATGGGACAGTTTCCCAAACAAAAATCAACAATCAAATATGCATCTAACACTGCAAAATTTTTTAAATCTAAACCAATTTTTGCTTCTCTTTTTCTCAGTTGAGGAGGTAATTGAGACACTATGCCAGAGGAATAAGACGATTAACATTTAAAATAAAAAAAAACAACAACTACAGTCTCTTATTTCAAATGCATCATATCCAAGTATCTTATTTTAAGAGTAAATATACCGATTCCATTGGCAGATCATCTCATCTACCTTCTCATATTAAGGGTAAATAAATTTTTTTAATGAATTTAAGATTGTTATATTTATTATACAAATTTAAATGCAGAAATACAAAACAGAGAGGGTTTTTAATCAGTAGGAGATTAGCTTCATTTGTTTTATGAATCAAGACAGATGCCATCCAGAAACTAACAGGAAAAAGGTGAAACCTAAATATTAAAGAAATGTTCTTTGGCTCAAAGTGATAAACAGCCACAGTTCATTGCATTGATGTTATAACTATCATTATGACCCAAAAGCAACAGCCAAAAACACTGCACATTATAAAACTGCAGTTATTACAGACATATTTTTCTTTGCAACCCATTTTTTTCTTTTATGCGGCAGCTCCATTGAATGCCTGACAGGATTAGGACGGATTTGTCCTTTTAGTGGAGCTCAGCTGAGCAGTCATGGGAGAAGCTCAAACAATGCTTGAATACAGGAAGAAAAATAATGCTTTTCACAGTCACACATCCATAATTTTACACCAGTGGCAAGTTGCTGAGGTGCTAAATATAGCCGGTTAATGAGAAATTTTTAATAAGAAGACTTTGTGCTTTGTTCCTTCAGTGGAAAACAGATAATTCATATGAAAAACAGGAGAGATCTTCCTCTTCCTGGTCCATCATGGATATGGGAAAATCTTTAAAGCATCTAGGCAATAAACCTGGATCATTTATTTTATTTTGGGGGAAAAAATTAAGTCTTTAAACTAACATCTCTCTATATTTGCTTACTTATTCTCCTTACTTATCCAGACCTGGATCAAAAATAAATAGAAACTTCATAATTCTGTCAAACTTTTCCAGGCCCCACTTGGAACCTTTAAGAACGGAGTAGTTCCCATTCCAAACTCCACCCAACAGCAAACACGAACGATCCAACGCTGCAGCCAAACATTTCCTGAATAACGTATCACTTAGAGGTGAGCACCAGGTCACATTTACTGGAAGCCTCTCTGCAATATTCTTTTACAGCCGAGGAAGCTGCTTAAAGGAGCCGAGTTTCTCTCTGACGCAAACACAGAAACTTAAACGCTTGTTTACATCATTAAACTCAACAGAGCTGTGATCAGAAAGTATGTCCAGCTCCTGTTGGGGTGGATTTTGAGTGCAGCTGGAGAACAACACCTGGTTAGGCCTTTTATTCTGCAGTGATCAGAGACAAAGCCACGCTTTCTCTTTGAGTTCTTGAGTAGCCCAGAGGGGCTCTCAGGTCTCAGCTTCCTAACAGTTTGGCAGCAACAGCAGCGTCTCAGTTACAATTACTCTCCAAACAAATCGACACGCCTCATACCTTTCATGTCACCTCACGTCCAGCCCAGATAGACGCTTCCACATCGTTTTCTTGAACACCCACTGAAACCTGTGCATCAATTCTAACCTCAAAGCACAGGATTTATCACAATCCTCAAGTTTTGCAAATGCAAAAAAAACCCAAAAAACACACAAAATGCGCATGTTATAACTTTAAGGATTTTGATGTGAGCAACACACTGATTCAAGTAGAACCCGCCCAGGATTATTTGCATTCATGGGCTGGAAGGGTATGGGAAGGATCATAACCTTGGAGACTTTTTCTGTTTTGTTTATTGAGCAACATATGGGAGGATTCTGGATGTTCTCTGCAGGAAGTGCTTAAATGCATTATCTCCTTTGACTTTTTTTTCCTCAGTGGATCCCGTTCTCTGAAACAGGGTCAGACATGTTAAGGTCCACAGTGGTTTCTGCATGAAAATAAGAGCCTGTTTTTGCCCGAAGGACTAACTCACCTGTATGTATTCACATGGGAAGGCAATGCTTTAATAATTTACACAAACTGTTAGCTTTTATAAATCATTTAAGCTGCTTTAAAAACACAAAAATCCAATTTCCTGCTCAACTAAGATCAACTTAAATACATGGAGGTGGAAACAGAGAATTGGGTTCTCTTAAAGTTCGTCCGGTTGTTTAAACATGGGAGGGATATAAAATTATTTTATCTTTATTTTTACCTGATTTCCATTTACCTGGAGGATTGGGCTACAGCTGGTCAATATTTAGCTAATCGATTAATCTGTCTATTTTTTTCAATGAATCGATTAATAATCAGATAGACTAAGGTTGTTTTTTTATAACAGAATTAAACTTGTAACAGTAAATTTCTTTCTGCTTGTAAGAGTTTAAATTAAAGGCTAATTCTTTAACTTTATAATATGATATTCTCTTCTTTTGTGGCTCCCCCCCCCCCCGAGTAAAGTGAAACATCTTTCTTTTGGTAACATTACAGCCTTTTTCCTCATGGTGACGTTACTTTTTGTTTTTTAAACTGGTAATGTTACTTTTGTTTTTAAGATGACATTACAACTATTTTTCCAGGTGAAAATTTAATCTTTGAGTTTATTCTGGTAATATTACTAGTTTAATCTCTTAATGATACAACTGTAATCTTGTATAGTTATTACTAGTTTTGTCATATGACTTTAGTCTCAGAATTTTTATGCATTTCTATTATGCAAGACATTTTATTATAACCTAAAACACAATCAAAACTGAGTAAATTGTGCACAAAGTAGTTTAGCCTGTTGATAACTAGCATGCTTTAAAATATCAGGAAAACGAAAACAAGGAAGTTTACAATGCAGTTCTGCACATTTCTTTGAGCTTCTAGTCAATAAGACCAAACAACCACTTAAAGCAGCTCAGTATATTTGATGCATCTACATTCCAAGAGGAAATACAGTAAGACCCATGGACAACGTCTGCAGCTTTTATACTCCATGCAGCTTTTCCCCTTATAACTAGTTTCCTGGAAAACTCCCAGGGGGTCTGAAACAAATAATCGGTTTAATTGTGATTAATCCATTATTGAAATAATCGTCAACTAATTTAGTAATAAATGAATTGTTAAATGGAGTGTAGAGACTCTAAAATGTGTCTTTAGCTGACAGAGCGACCAACTTAGAGTAGCAATTACCCCAAAATTGTAAAAAAAAAATAAAAAAAAAATATAAACATTTTGCATTTAGGATATAAATCGTTTTCGTCTGTCAATATGCTCTATCTAGAACTCCTCCAGTGGAAACGTTTTAGTTTGACCTGGTTTAATTTTGCAAAAAGCCTTCTTTAAGGAACCTTTGGCTATCAGATTATTAATTGATTCATTTAAAAAATAATCTACAAATTAATCGATTTGCAAATTAATCTTAAGTTGCAGTGCTAATTTAAAGCACAGAGCATTAGTTTATAATCCTACACTACATGGAGAAGTAGAAAACACACCGGTTTAAAATTTTCTGAGTGGCAGTGATTTCTTTCTCCGATGCTCATTTACCAAGTTTTTCCTGGTAGTTACAAAGAAAAATTAAAAATCTTTAAATAAAAATCTGTCTGAGCACACATTGCTGGGATCAGTGTGGAAGATGACATAATTCAGTGAGGCGAATCTCACAAACACGTCCAGCATAAATCAA